GGCTTTAGCACCATAGACCACATACATACCCTTCGGCAAATTGTGCAGAAGTCCGAGGAGTACAATTTGCCACTATGTCTGGCGTATGTGGACTATGAGAAAGCCTTTGATTCCGTCGAAATTTGGGCGGTGCTGCAGTCCCTTCAGCGATGCCAAGTTGACTGTCGGTATATCGAAGTGTTGAAGTGCTTGTACAGTAGGGCTACGATGGCTATCCGAGTACAGAACCAGAGTACGAAACCTATCCAATTGCAGAGAGGTGTAAGACAGGGTGACGTCATATCCTCGAAACTCTTTACCGCTGCATTGGAAGATGTTTTCAAGCTTCTGGACTGGAAAAGATACGGTATCAACATCAATGGCGAGTACAGCACTATGCTCAATGACCTCAATAGTGTTTCCCAACGGATAGGTCTTAAGATGAACATGGACAAAACAAAGATCATGTTTAATGTCCATGTCACACCTATGCCGGTAGTTGTTGGGAGCACTAAGCTCGAAGTTGTTGACGAGTATGTTTACCTGGGACAAATAGTCCGACTAGGTAAGTCCAACTTCGACCGAGAGGTCAATCGACGGATTCAACTCGGTTGGGCAGCGTTCGGGAAATTACGGCACATCTTCTCGTCAGGTATACCTCAAAACTTGAAAACGAGACTGTACACCCAGTGCGTGCTGCCAGTGATGACATACGGAACTGAGACGTGGTCCTTCACTACTGGCCGGATGAGGAAGCTCAAGGTCGCTCAGCGAGCTATGGAGAGGGCTATGCTCGGAGTTTCTCTGCGTGATAAACTCAGAAATGAGGATATCCGCAGTAGAACTAGAGTGACCGACATAGCCCAACGGATTAGTAAGCTGAAGTGGCAATGGGCCGGCCATATAGCTCGAAGAACCGACAACCGATGGGGAAGAAAGGTTCTCGAGTGGCAGCCTCGTACCGGCAGGCGAAGTGTAGGGCGTCCCCCCACTAGATGGAGTGACGACCTGGTAAGATATGCAGGAAGTCGATGGATGCAGGTGGCTCAGGACCGTGCTTTGTGGCATTCTTTGGGGGAGGCCTATGTTCAGCAGTGGACTTGTGAAGGGCTGTAATGATGATGATGATGATGAAAAACAATAAGGACAGACTGGATTGGAAATATTTGAGACATAAGTGACCAATTCAATAATTTACGAAAAAATTTTTTTACAAGATGTGTTCGAAACTCGAAATAAACGTACTTTAATGCAAAATATCTTCTGTATTAAAATTTCAAATCAGATTAACTTCACCATAAAATTAAATATTTATAAACAAAAAAGTTTTTTATTAATACAGACAGCATAGAAAAAGAGGGAGAGAATGACACTGTCGGCTTAGTTCACACTCATGATAAAAAATGTTTTTCTTGTCAAGTTTTCAAAAATTCCGTAGATTTCAACCTCAAATTTCGATGACAAAATTCCGTCGATATACGGAAAAGTCCGTAAAGTTAGCAACACTGACTGCAGTTTTTATTGTACTATTGTAGTTATCAGGAAGATGCTGCTACCCATCTCCTGCCTGTTACCAACTGTCGCCTTTTACGACACCCATGGGAAGATATGGGGTAGTGGATATTCTTAATCACTCTTAACCACTACACGGCTATATATCAACCATTAAATTTATGTTACTTTAGGCAGTTTTACACTATTAATTTTTAACAGAAAAAAAAGTTCTAATTAAACATTTTTTACTTTTGCGATTGAGCTATTTCTACTAAATATATCTTCTAACTTTAAAAGTTTAGATGATATCTAACTTCGAGTTTTTTTTTTCGTATATTTATCTTTAGGTGACATAAAATTCGTGGTAATCATCGCTCGCAATTTTTTTTCATACGGGATTTTATACTTTCGAATAGTTGTTTATTTCGGAAGCTCGTGGTCCTTACTTTTAACGGCAAGCCAAAACATCGTTCATAAAATATCACTCATGAACAACGATGTTCATGAACGATATATCGATGCATGAAAAAACCGATGTATTGTTTGCATCCCTACCTATAGAATCTATAGGTAGGGTAGGGCCTACCCAATAGCTATGTTTACACTAGTGCTCTTTCCTGTTCATCTTGCGTTTTCCTCTAACGCATGCCTGAGCAACCATAGCACATGGAATAGCGTATGCGCTAAAACTAGTTTGACAACAACGCATGCCCCTAGCGAACGCCGATCCATCACCGGTGGGTTTGCATGCAACTTTTCGTGCATTTTAGTAAACAAAAATGGCGAAAGACAAAGTTAAAACATTGGATAATAATAATAATAATGCCTGTTCTCATGTATACCTTTGGCATACTCAGGTGGACTCAGACCGAACTGAACGCTCTGGACAGAAAAGTCCGCACTATAATGACGTCCCACAGGATGCATCATCCGAGATCGTCAGTAATGAGGCTGTACTTGCCGCGAAAGCATGGTGGGCGCGGCTTTTTAAGCGCGCTTATCATGCATAATCGCGAAGTGTGCAGCCTCCGTAATTACTTTCTGACGAGAGCGGATGATCCATACTATAGGGACGTTATTTCTTGTGATAAAGGGCTAACCCCTCTATCCTTAGCCAACGAGCAATGGAAGGAGAAAAATCTCCACGGGAGGTTCTACAAGGCCCTTCATGAGCCTTTCGTAGACACAGTCGCCTCCCTCCACTGGCTACGTTTCAGTGACCTCTTTGGGGAAACTGAGGGTTTTGTCTGTGCAATACAGGATCAGGTTATTAAGACCAACAATTATCGGAAATACATCCTAAAGGATGGCGCCGTCGACATCTGTCGAGCTTGTCGCCATCCCGGTGAGTCACTTAGGCATGTCATCTCCGGTTGTTCGGCGCTTTCTAACTCTGAGTATTTGCACAGACACAACCTAGGAGCTCGCTCTGAAATACGGTCTCGTGGATCGTAAACTGCCATATTATAAGTACTTGCCGGAAGCCGTGCTCGAAAATGACCGCGCCAGGCTCTACTGGGACCGGGCCATCATCACAGACAGGACTATTCTTGCGAATAAGCCTGATATTGTGCTGATGGACCGGGCACAGTCACGGATATTTTTGGTCGACATTACCATTCCCTATGACGAGAACCTCGTGAAAGCCGAAACAGATAAGCTGACAAAATATCTGGACCTGGCTCACGAGGTGACCGACATGTGGGGTGGTCTGCCGGCCGAAATTATTCCTGTGGTCGTTTCTGCGAACGGGTTAATCCCAGTTAGCCTCTCGGGTCATCTGAGGCGACTGGGACTCCGTAACGGACCGCTCCAAGCTCAAATGCAGAAGGCGGTGCTCCTCGATATCGTCCGCCGGTTTCTTTCCCTTTCCCCCTAACCCTTGGCCGTTTGGTCTTCCCTGCCGAGGGCTTCCATCTGGTTGGGTTTTTTTTATATATTTATGTATTTTTATGTATTTATACTATTTTATTGATATTTATGTATGTTTATATATTTCGTTTATAATTATATATTTAAACAGCCCAACCAGATGAGAAAACTTTATAGATAACCCCAATAATAATAATAATTTATTTTATTTTCTCACCACAATACAATTATTGTACATAATATTATAGTATAGCCTCAATATTATAATGTGGGAGACTGGTGCCTAAGCTAGGCTATTTTTTAAAGATCGTTTCGTACTAGTTCATTTCGGTCAGTGAACTAGTTCGTTCTAGTAGTTCTCTTAGCTTTATTTGGTCATTAGTACTACTAAGCAGTTTAAACTGTATCTATCTGCAAAATCTGTATGGAATGGTTGTCTCAGTCGTTCGATATCTGCTCGAATCGTAATGTTGTATTATCACTCGTACATACAGACTTGATAATTTCTTGGTCAAAATAAAAGTCTAAAGCAAATGAGTATTGAAAAAATAATTAAGGTTAGTGAAATAAAATCCCATATCCATAACATGCAAAAATAAAAAGTATCCAAGGATGCAGTCAATATTAAATCAATGATAAAGTACAAAAAATACTCGTCAATAAGTTATAACATAACTTCAATTTTCTTACATTTTTATGCGATTGGAAGTGCCGAAACGAAGTCAAGCAAACAATATTTGCGAACACTGCTGTGTTCTAGCATCTTTTCGGATTATAAGCTAAATTAAACGTTATTGCATTGATATACCTAACATGCATCTTACTATAACGTCTCACTTTAACGGATCTGATCAATGATACCATTACGGACATTCGTCGGGTCTTGTCCGAATGACATACTCAATTCATCGACTTTCTCTTTCGCCTGCTCTCGTACGGTATCGCTAATACGCGCGGTCTGGCGTATTGCGAGTGTGGATGTACGAAAAGAGCTGTTAGACCGATTATCAATAAGCGTTCGGAAACGTTTCTTCTAGTACAGTGCTAAGATACGTTTCCTTTTCGATTTGTTATCTCGTGGAACAGGGGCTGTTCTTTCAGTTTGTTTGTCACAGTTACAGTCTGCTATTTTAAGATACCTGATTTTTTATCTGTTACGATAAACACGCTTCACTACGTAGTGATTATATTCTCTTTGTGTTAACTCCTACTACCGAAGCTAGACTACGCTCAGAAGGGCTAGAACCCAGAGATGCAAAACCGGTCATTAAAAAAAAATGCCGATCTAGTGTAGGGATCGGCAAGGGAAAAAATATACCGTTATATATCGAATCGATATTTTTAAATTGTATCGATATATAACGCGTGATAAATATCTTTATATCGTCATCATTTGCATAATATTGTACAGCTAATGTCCATTTCTGCCGGTTGGACGACGAAAAACCAAACAGCAACCAACCTTCACATAAATATTTTGTACCTCCTTTTGTTGTGACATGTTTTGTCATTAATACAACATTTTAAAATATATCGAAATTGATACGAATTCGATACTCTGAAATAAATATCAATATATCGCGATTTAAGATATCTACGATATATATCGATATGATTAGTAAAATATATCGATATATTTTGGCCAAGGCTACACTAGTGTCGCTGTTATTTATTTTTAAATTTTGAAAGTTTGGAACCGTTTTTATTCCTAAGTTTTGTTTTATTCTTGTAAATAAAATATTTGAATTATAAATAGCGATTAGCTTCTATATAGTTTGTGCGATTAGCGAGTTAAGTTACTACATCAAGTTATACAGTATACATACACCTTACCTATCTTTAAATAAAATACAGTCAAGAATGGCCTTCAAATATTAATAAAATATTTTGATTGAGGAGAATGAGGAATATGTTTAGAAAAGTTGGTATGTAAATTTAATACGTTAAAATTAAATTAGTGCCATCTCTAAAAATAAAATTTTGAGTCTAAACTATTATTTTAATTGACGCATTTTCTTTTGTTGCTTTGTCCAAAGTGATTTTATTCTCTGCTATGATAAGATGACTATTAATTGAGAGATAAGGTTATTTTGGTTTCATTTTATTTACTCCAGATAAAAAACTACCGGATGATAGTGAAAATCAGGAATTGCAGGAAGAAATAAAACAATTAGAAGAAAAGCTTAAGGAAAAACATAATGAGTGGTTTCAGATTCAACGCAATAGGTACAGAAGTTTACCTCACCGTAAACCTAACACATCCAAAAATAAGCCTGAAACTTTTGTAAGACCTCAGGTACTGTTACATTTAAATTGCATACTCAGTTATTATTTTTATAGTGTTAATGATTTTAGTGGATAGTTCATATTTATATTTTATTTTTTAATAGAAAATTATACTACAAAATTCAATAGAAAATGTTAGGAGAAACCTAGAACTGATGTTAATGGTGTCAGGCATGGAGGTGCAGTCTTATGCTGCTGGTGATCACTGTTGCATTGTTTACCATATGCAACATGATGCAGAGAACGAGGTCAAGCATGGGTTACGGATTGATATGAAAGCTGGTAAGTTTTAATACTAAATACTATAGTATCAAATCACAATTAATTTACATGTAAAATTTGCATACCTTGATTATTGGCTTTATTAGAAGAGCAAAGGCATATTACTACAGAGGCTGCACAAAAATTATCGGGTATGGAATATTTCCACTGTTCTTGTCATATTAAAATCTTTTTAATTTAAAAGACCTTGGTTTTAAAAATCGAATGCCATTTATTTATTTAATAAAGATTCTCGGTCTTGTCACAAGGTTTTGTCAAACTTGTTTAGTCGTTGAGAAAATGGAATTGACTCGAGAAAATTCAAGAGCGATGATTTATTATGACTTTTGAAGTGGTTTAACACAAAAACAGTGTGTTGACCGGATGATTTCTGCATTTGGTGATGATCCCCCCATCCAAAACCACAATTTATCGCTGGTTTGCTGAATTTCAACGTGGACGTGTCAAGCTCAGTGATGATCCCCGTCAAGGTCGTCCAACAACTGCAGTCACCCAAGAAAACGTTGATGCTGTGCGTAAGCTGATTGAGGAAGATCGACATGTGACATACTGCGAAATTCAGGCAACTTTAGACATTGGCATGAGTCAAATACAAATAATCTTGCATGAACAATTAGGTGTAAAACAGTTGTTTTCCCGATGGATACCGCATTCGCTCTGTGAAGAGCAAAAAGCGGGTCACATTAGTTGGTGCGTCAGAACTCTCGAAAGATTCCACGCAGGATCCTCAAATGCTGTATACAACATCGTATCAGGTGACGAATCCTGGATATATGCGTTCGAACCTGAAACAAAAAACCAGTTACGAGTTTGGGTGTTCGAAAATGAGTTAAAGCCAACAAAAATTGATCGTTCACGGAGTGTTGCAAAAAAAATGGTGGCCACATTTATCTACAAAATCGGCCATGTTACGACTATTCCTCTTGAGGGACAAAGAACGGTTAATGCAGAATGGTATGCTAGCATTTGTTTGCCACAAGTCGTTTCTGTACTCCGTAAAGAGAAATGCAACCGCCGCATCATCCTCCATCACGACAATACGAGTTCTCACACCGCACACAGAACAAAAGAGTTTTTAGTGCAAGAAAACATAGAATTATTAGACCATCCGCCGTACAGCCCCGACCTAAGCCCTAATGATTTCTATACTTTCCCTAACATAAAGAATAAATTGCGTGGACAGAGATTTTCATCACCTGAAGAAGCTGTGGACGCCTACAAAACGGCCATTTTGGAGACCCCAACTTCCGAATGGAATGGTTGCTTCAATGATTGGTTCCATCGTATGGAAAAATGTGTCAAATTTCGCGGAGAATACTTCGAAAAGCAATAAATACATTTTTAAATAGTAATTTTGTGTCACTTCCTTGATTCCCGAAATTTTCTGTGCCGCCCTCGTATCTTATAAAATACCCTATACAAGAGCAAATAACAAAAATACAGTGAGGAAACCTGCATGTTTGAGAAATAAGAAAAAAATATATATTGAAAATATGTGAAGTTCACCAACATGCATTGAGGTGACGCGGAGGACTATTCCTTGCTCAAAAACCGTCCCAGAAATGAGAGACTTGTGCCCAACAGTGTGACATAAGATATCGGCTGTAACTTTAACTTTATAACATTACAGGTAGTATATATATGGAAGACTTAATGTCTAATACATAATTTTTTAGGTTTAAACTATGGAGTGTAGAGTACAAGGAGGACCATCTCTATATAAGAAAAGTGTCCCTAAAAACGCGTCCAATAAGGGTGGCGCTGCAGTAGCATAGGATAAATTTAAAAAAAGCGCCAGAAGTAATTAGAATAAGATGGAGAAATAAACAAGGACCGACCAATCCGCTTGGTTTTGTACTACGTAAATAGTTGATGGGGAAGAAAGGTTCTCGAGTGGCAGCCTTGTACAGGCAGGCGAAGTTTAGGGCGTCCCCCCACTCCACGACCTGGTAAGATATGCAGGAAGTCGATGGATGCAGGTGGCTCAGGACCGTGCTTTGTGGCATTCTTTGGGGGAGGCCTATGTTCAGCAGTGGACTTGTGAAGGGCTGTAATGATGATAATGATGATGATGAAATAGTTGAGATGTTGTATACTGGCATTTTACTAACTACTCTAGTCATGAAATTTTTTAAATATTTTAATTCAGCTGACTTCACTCTGTTCACAACAGCTATCTTCATATCGTAGTTTTTCAGACGCCAGCGCTATTGTGGTAGGTTTTGGAACATCTATTTTCAGTAAATAGTAGAACACTTTTTCAATTTTCGCCCCTTATAAGATGGTTCTCCATGTACTCTACACTCCATAGTTTAAACTTAAACCTAAAAAAAATTATGTATTAGAATATTGTTTTGGAAGTCATATTTGGTACCAAAGTTTTTTGTTTTGTTGTATTTAATGTTGTTTTAATTTGTTTTTAATTGATGTAGGAAAGAATGAAGTTACCAAATGTTCATTCCCACTTGGTTTCAACTTAAAAGCAGTGATTGAAGAATTTGATAATGTGATGATGCCAGCATGTCTAGGTTCGATAAGGAAGGCTCTTGTGGCATACTATGATAGGCTTGGGCAGTTTGAAGCATTGCAGGTAAGATGTGGTGGTGAGCCATTGACAGTTTTTGTAGCAAAGTAATGTAATAGTTTTTTTTTCTATAAATAAAAAGTTGAAAAGGCTGTTATTTTACAACAGGTTTAAAAAAGTTAAAGTTTGGTTCATTGTTTTTTTCTAATATTAGTAACATGCAATTAAGAGGCTTTAGAGGGAAACTACGGTTGCCACCGTGCCTGCCAAGCGTGGCAACTATGGCAATCCCCCTTATTAGGCATTCTGTGGGGAGATCTAGGTTCTGTGGTGGGATTATATATGTATATGCTGTAATGAATGAATGAATTAAGATACTATTAAAATATATATATAAATACTGATTAAAATATACAGGGTTATTTTGCAATAACAGGCCAAATTTACAGAGAAAATGAAAAAGTCAAACATTGCCCTTTTTATCTTTTAAATTCAAAATGAGTGGTAATTCATTATTTTAACTAATTTTAATGCGCACGCACACATTCGTAAGGGGTGATCGGTAGGAAAAAACGTTGTTGCCCATAAATCAGATCAATTTAGTTCAGGATAATTTCAAATAAAAGTAGAAGCCTTATTTACTCCTACTTCAAAAACTGCAATAACGGTATATGATTATTTATATATTTGAACTTAAGTATATTTGGCTAATCTTTGAAAAATAACCTTGTATAAATATATACAGTCCGTAGCCCGTACGGATGCAGAATGGGATTAAAAATGGCGGCTCATCGAGCCTGTACTGTCAACATGCACAATACCAATTTCGAAAACCCACTAATGACGGTATATCGTTATATATCATTTCCAATTAACCAAATAATCTAATATATAAAATTCTCGTGTCGCGGTATTTCTTACCAAACTCCTCCGAAACGGCTGAACAGATTTGTATGAAATTTTGTGTGCATGTCGGGTAGGTCTGAGAATCGGCCAACATCTATTTTTCAAACCCCTAAATGATATAGCTGACCCAACCCTATGTATATTTTTATTTTTTTTACAAAATTTTTTATTTTTATTTTATTATGATTTAGCATTGAAAAATACATAAAAAATCAAATTCCTTCCAAAACACCTTCCACGATCAACCCCTGTTTTTTAATCGCAATTTTTAAAACTAAAAAATATTTAATATATTATAAATTCAGATTTTCAAATATTGTCAGCTAGTATATTATATAATATTATTGGGTTAATTGGAAATTTTCTTTTAATGGAAAAATATTTGAAAATAATTGTATACGCAAGTACGTACCGCTCTGGCTTCGCCTGGATGGGATATAATATTAATGTGACTTTATTTAGACTTAATATAATCAATAAAGACCATTTATTTTATCTTATCAATATTTGTATTTTAATAAAATTATAAAATTATAATAAATTTTATAAAGGAAACGAGGCATTCCATCTTAGTCCTCATGGGTGACAACGCATCTGCATTTTGATTCATAATCGAGGATAAATGTAGATGTCTATGGGCCACAGCAACCACTTAACATCAGGTGGACTGTGTGCTCGTTTGTCACCCTATCCCAGTGGTCGGCAAACTTATTAGCCAAAGAGCCAAATTTGAACATTACAACAATTTAAAAAAAATTGGGAGCCAAATCTGCTTGTTTAGTAAACTTTTATACACTAAATAAGTAGTACACTAAATAAAATTAAATATCATATTTAACAAATATTAATGCGATCAATGTGCTTGTTGTGTGTGTGAAAGTTTGAGTAAATCAAGTTTGTATGTTGTTTTTAATTTTAGGCATAATTCCTAGTTCTCATCAATAAGACGACTTTTCAGTTTACTCTTGATAATGTTCATGCTTGTAAAAGATTGTTCGCATATATATGTAGAACCGAGAAGGGAAAAAACAGTAAAAGTCAGGAATACTATTCCAAGCGTTGAAAATGATCATGTCTTCCTTCTCCAGGTCATTCAAAGCAGACCACTTGTGTTGTGAACTAAGATCACATAGTTTTTTCTCTAATATTTCTAATTCAACACATTTTCACGTTCACATTATACGTTCGAATTTAGATCGCCATATCTCCTTGTTTTTTAAATCCAGCACTTGTATTTCAAAGCTACCAATGTCAATTTCAAAAGGAGAAAATTTCAACTCTGTTATCGTAGCATTAAGAGGATTTTTGACAAATGCTAAAGTTGCTCTGCTGTTTTTAAATTCCTGAAACCTGCTGAGTAATGCTTCCCTCGTATTTAAAATTATTGTTTTAAAATGGTGTTAGCTACAGCAGGCTCGGAAAGTGAAACAATGTTTCCCTAACAAAATCTTGAGCAAAATAGATAATTAGTTTTCTAATTTTATTTACTCCTTCTAACGTCGACGATTCTTTACGATTTTTTACGATTAAGCTGACGTCCATGGAGAAATTTAGTTTACGATTAAGCTGGTTTAGATGAGACGTAACCTCTACCATGAAATAGAAGTTTTGGATTTTTGTCTGTTAGTTCTGGATAGTGAACGCCCTTCTCAAGGAGAAATGCTTTAATTTCCGGAAAAAGGGATCCGAAACGTTTTAAAAAGTTCCCTCTTGATAACCAAAGTACCTTGTTATGAAGCAGAAGATCAGCGTGTTCATTCTCCATTTCAAATAAAAATTCTTAAAATTGGCGATGATTAAGAGCTTTAGCTAAAAATTCCATAACTTTACAAATTTCATCCGGAAATGTTTTGTGCACAAAGCGCTTCTTGGTGACTGATACAATGGCAAACAAGTAGCTTGTAATTATTTTTTTCTTTCAAAATAGCAACAAACCCTTTGCTTACGCCATACTTTTGGCCCCATCTGTTGAAATCGACCCAATATTATCAAGGGGAATATGATGTTTATCCATACACTCAATTACAGCATTTGCGATAACTTCTCCACGCGTCTGTCCTTTGAGTGGCAATAATTTTAAAATATCTTCTTTAGAGCCTGAATGAGACATAAATCTTACAATAATTTAAAATTAAAAATTTTGTACTGCCGACTTCAATATAAATTATTAAGAATAACTCAAAAACTATTGGTCTCACCTTGATCAAATTCATGGGACCACACGAAAAGTACCAGCTTTCAAATAAAAAAGAATCATCGAAATCGGTTCACCCAGTTAAAAGTTATGAAGTAACACACAAAAAAAAAACAAAAATATACAGTCGAATTGAGTACCGTCTCCTTTTTGGAAGTCGGCAGAAAAGTGAAACTTGCGCTGTATCATTTATGTAACAAGACTTGTCAACTGCTATTGATAAAGCTGAAACCAATTTCAGATTTTCGGTATGCTGGGTGGCGAACACATTTTAATTGTTCTATTATTAATGGTTTTGGCAGACAATGGTAACTCTTTAATTCTTTTCAGAATATCTGCTTTGTTCTTAAATTCCCGAAATATCTCTTCGGATACATTTATAAAACAATTTCTTATGTATTCGCCGTCTATGTACTGTTTCCCTCTCTTAGCAATCTCTTGGCTAAAAACAAAACTTGCCATATTAATATTGCTGGAAGATTGCATCCAGTTATTAAACATAGAAGTTGACGACTCTTGACTCTTCTGAAGTTCCTCAACTGCTTTCTTCCTTGCATCACCGGTAGGATATTTGGTGCTAAATGACGCGTGCTTTATTGTAGTGTCTCTCTAAATTTGACTTCTTGTTATGCGTGAATTTCTCCTTACAAATAAGACGTCGGAAATCCATTCAAGTTTTGAATAAACGCGAATTCTCGATCCACTCAACTTTAAATTCGCGGTTTTCATCTTCCGTTTGTCTTTGCTTTTTTTGGTAGCCATGTTAATTTCTTACCAAGTTTTTTTAAATGAAAATATTATTGCGCCTTCCGTGGATATTTGTGCCAGAGCCGCACTTAAGGAGCCAAAGAGCCACATGCGGCTCTGGAGCCGCACTTTGCCGATCACTGCCCTATCCTATAAAAAAAAAAAACTTTCAACTTTGAAAGAGATAGACGGTAGCGCAATTGCTACCTCTATGTATTGCAATATTGATGTTTTACCTGAACATTTAAACAGCAATAATGTAAAATTCACTATCGTGTCTCAAAATATATGAAATGTGTACCGCAACCTTGATGACCTAGCCTTAAACTAACTTCAATTTAAATTTAAGGTGGACGTAATAATTCTTACCAAGTGCAGAATTGACAGAGATATAGATATACAATAGATCGGGAGATGGTGAAGGTGTGAGGAGGTGCAAGCGCGCAAGGGCTCGTAACCCCTCCATCTTTCATATTTTAGGGTTAGTTATCAATTCTTAAAAAGGCATGCAGGAGAAAATGGGAGACTATTTTCTGTCACCATCTCCCGATCTATAAACCTATTCCAAATCTTGATAATTACAAAATGTACTTGACGACAAACCACGTGCATTAAAAGGACGGGGTAATCGCATTTATGAAAAATGTCGTTCAAGCCCAAGTTAATGAAATAATATTATCAGATGTTTCCTGCTTCCTGCCTGCAACAATAATGCTGATACACACAATCACGCAAATATTATTAATTACACCTTACTACTTTTAAATTGTTTAGCTTTTCTATTTATTTATGCTTTTTTATATAATTCTAATTTAAAGTAGTAATATGATTGTACTACGGAAGAGCGGGGCTCTCTACTACAGGTATCTATTTACTTAAAAGAGAGCATCCAACAATATTGTAACAACTTACTACGTATTTTAAAGCAATTTCTTATTATTATTATTATTACATACAGGGGCGACACTGTAAGTTTTTAGGACTATATACCTATAATATAAAAATATATAATAAAAAATAAGTTCAAATTTTGAAAATGGAACTCTTTGCCAATATTATTAGGTATGTATTTTATTAATTTTTCATTTGTCTACGATTTGGCGGCAAATTGAAAATTGTCTGTGTCACGTCAGCATGAATTTAACGCGAGAAAATTTTCGTACAATGATTTTTTATGACATTCGATGTCATTTAAGTCAACAAAAAAGTTATGATTAGACTTCGATTGACCTTTCACGATGAAACCCCATCGAGTGGCACTGTTTACAACTGGTTTAATGACTTTAAACGTGGTCGCACTAATCTCACCGATGATCTGCGTGAGTTTCTACGGCGACGACTGAAGCACTGAAGATAACATCAGTGTTGTGCGGCGTATGATAGACACTTATAAAAGAGTGATTTATCCTTAGATTCCGACACGCTTAGGCATCGGTATGAGTTAAGTGCACAAAATCCTCCATGAACATTTAGCGGTCAGGAAGCTTTGTGCCCGTTGGGTACCTCATAATTTGACAGAGGCCCAAAAACTCCATCTTGTTAATTGGTGTCGTGAAATGATTCAAAGATTTAACGGAGGTGATTCAAATGTTGTGTTTGACATACTTACGGGTGACGAAAGCTGTATTTATTTTTATGATACTGAAACTGAGAGACAATCTGCTGTTTGGGTGTTTCCTTCCGAGGAGTTGCCAACTAAAGTAAAGAGAGGTCGAAGCGTAGGAAAAAAGATGGTCGCTTTGTTCTTTGGAAGGACTGATCGTTACGCAACAATTGTTTTAGATTTAGAGGATCGAAAAACAGTTACTGCAGAGTGGTACACTAACAATTTTTTGCCACTTGTCTTGAAAAAAGTTCGGGAGAAACGACCTCGCAGTAGGATCCTCCTTCACCACGACAACGCCTCGTCGCACATCGCCAAGCAAACAATCGACTACTTGGCGACGTCAGACGTGGAATTACTGGGTCACACGCCCTATAGCCCCGACCCTTTACGATTTGTATTTATTTCCGAAAATAAAAAAAATAAACTTCGAAGAAAACGTTATATGGACGCCGAGGAAGCAGTGGCTGCGTTTCAAAATGCCGTCAAAGAGAGCCCTAAGGACGAGTGGGCAAAGTGCTTTTCTCAGTGGTTCCATCGGATGCAGCGATGTATTGATGTAAATGGACACTATTTTGAAAATATATAATAAAACTAATAACTTACTAATTGTTCAGTTTTTTATTTTCTTATTTTTTTGATGTTCTAAGAACTTTCAGTGTCACCCTCGTTCCTCGTAGGGCTTGTAGTAAAGGAATAATGATGACGCTCACACATGAAAGCAGAATAATGGATCTTTTGGATTAAAAACGCTTAGCTATTTTTAACTCCTCTTCTCTTCAGCCCATAATGTCCACAGTTAAACATAGGCTTTTCTCGTTCTAGGGAGGATTTCCTTTAATCGCCACACCTGGGAATAGTAATCACAATCGCAGTGGCTAGCACTCTTGCACCTTTTTCTCTTGTCGCCGGTTGGTGTCTTTAAACCTGGCATTAACAAGATGTAGCGCTATCTGTAGAAAGCTATGGGACGTTTCTTGCATATTCTATAGTCACCACATGATCCATCATATTATATAGCGCAATGGATCCTCTGACACCGACACTAAATTGTATTTTTTTTTTGTAGAAGTTACTTAACGTGGAAGCACAATTGTTCAAGAAACTGGACACATCACATGTTAAAATATCGTTTTTTGCTGAAACTGATGTAGAAGGGGAGGATGAACCAGTGGTGATCAACATAGTCCTTACGTTGGACTACAGGGTTTATGATATAAGGCCCAAGACCTATTGCTTCAATGAAAATGGTGAGTGAACTCGGGTTGTAATATATTGTGCAGATATGACGACTTTATTATTTTGTTGATCTTAAGAAATAAAATGGCTACTAGTTAAATTACATATAACCTAGCAGAGTCAATGCTGATATTTTTATTTAAGTTCAATTCAAGGCTTGTTTAAAGCTCTTATGAACGTCACAATCTGCACCGGTTCGAAAAACAAGATTTTTTTTTAGAAATCTGACAGGAAACCCTGTCTTTTTTTGAAATGCAGGTACAATCGAGTGGCGTTATAAATTCGCCACGGGGGAAGGTGCCTTTCGCAAATACGTGGAAAAACAGGTTGCAATTAGTGCTCGCCACCACGAATCTAGCTTGATTATTATTACGCGTATTGTTTCAGTTTATACGTGGCTATGGTAGCGGCCGAAGGCATTCATTATTTACTGTTAATCAGTGAATGTTGTGCATCTCATGACTTTTTTATCTTTTATTATTTTATATTCGATATGTACTTTGTCGGATTGCAAGGTACTCTTTTTCAAAGAATTCCGGACTACCAAGGGATTCTGGCAGTACTCTATAGTCCGACAAATTTGATATTCCGACACCTTCTCGCAAAACGTTTGTTGGATTACCGCAGGTCAACTGTATATTAATAATAGCTTTTATGGGTGTAGTCCGGTCATGTTAGCTCAAAAAATAGTGTTAAGATTACAATCAAAATCAAATATCTGCAAAAAATATTTAAGGGTCAAAGTTCGCAAAAATGGGTTTTTTGTATTTTTCAGTTAAACGGTAAGTTTTATCATGGTGAGGTAGTGTGTACTTGGCGCGTTTTGTTCTACGTGGTTTCCCCGGTAAACCTATGCCGCGATCTATTGTTGTCCTGTTTAATTTTAAAAATTGTATCAAATAACATATGGTACTATTGGAAATGATGAAAGCAATGTATATTATGGTGCAACTATACAGCATGGACCAGTAAGTACAACTGGTGCGTGTAATGAACAAAACTATTTTGCAGTCTCATTTAGCGTTACACCCCTATTTGCAATTGCAAAAAATTGTATTGAAGAGTTTTTCCGGTGCAGTAAGATCTGAATTGGTTCCAATGTATTGTCAATTAACTTCCAACCCCATTCTTCTGGTTCCAGTTTATTACCAAGCTACACTAAGCTAATTCCGGTGGTGATTGTGGAGTACTCTCTTTAAAAATTTCAACACAATTAACTAAGTCTTGTTTCTCAAACAATACCAAAAATGTTTTGTTTTTTTTACATACAACTATTTACAAAATTTATTTTAGAAACAGCTTCGAAGCGACTACCCCATTCCCAGGGGTTATTATCAACCATGTATTAATTGATATCATAATACATAACTGTTTTTTATAGTTTTTATTTAGTAAAATATTTAAACTTGGCAATAGAGAGACATATATTTTCTGACTTTGTTGTAATAGCGTATACATTGCCCCAAAAATTAATTAACTGACTCTGTGGAGTGGGTTGTGTTTGTTCATAGTGTTTACAGACTAAAACTATTGTTTTTGTGAACATACATTAAATTTTCGTAAATATACTGAGAAAAAAGTTAACATGTTTATTTCTTTAAAATGTTGTCTGAGACTCTGTTTTAGCTAAACTCTTCTGCAAAACAAAAATAGCTTCTAAATTAGCCGCATTTCCCCATAGCAAAATCCCATAAGACATGCTATGGAAATAATTGAAATAAACGAGTCTAGCTATCTAGAAGTCTGAATAATAATGGCAGTGCTAACAGCATTATTTTGTTTAAAAATTGTAATTGCTTTTCTTTGCCATCAGTACAACATGGTAATGAATTTGTATGAATCTACTAGCGACACCTGGTGAGGAAAAAATTATTAGCCCTCATTACTAAATTCGAAAAAAACCCGGCAATAAGCCGCGACGCATCAATCAGCCTGTCGCCCAGATTGCGATACTTATAACTTATACTTTTTTATAGACTACGATCGCTATTGCGAAAAATTTTAGGTTATATTTATCAACTCTCGCAGAATAGATTTCATACAAAAAAAATTGATAAATGGTTAGCTTTCAAACTAATTATCGTCTTAAATTGCCAGTAATGTAATTTAAGATACTATAACAATAAATAATTGTACAACGTGTGTATAAATCCCATTTCCAACAACTATTTGTATATCCTAAACTTATTGACAATTTATGTATGTTAGGTGACTCTACAATAGATGAGAAATTAGTAGTAATTAGAAAAAAGATGAAAAAATATTTCTTTGTTTTTAGTAGTAGTTAACCGGTTCAGTGCGGGTGACACGCCAGGCGTGCCATTGATTACTTTTGTGTGTGGCGTATGACACGCGAGTTGTGTCTTTTTAAAAATCGTTATAACTCGCTCAAATTGCTTTTTTGAAAAATTTATCCAGAACAAAATATTCATTATTTTGCAAGTAGTTCATGCATGCAGCTTCGTTTCTGGATATTTTGAAAATTTGAAATTTTTAGGGGTTGACAACCTATTTTAAAGTGTACATGGTACTATTTTTAATTTGTGGGTTTTAAATCATGTTATGGAAAAATAGTCTAATAAGTAACAAATAATAGCACTCATTGCGATCGCTCACAAACTCAAGTCTCCTGTTAGTAAACAAGTCTCCTGTTAAAAAAGAACAATGCGTTTGTCTTATTGTTTAGTTTTGCTTAAAATGGTTGAACTGCCGTCTTATTACTATCATATGGCCGAATAGACCTACGAAGTACCATGTGCTCTTGTGATATGGTATAAGGTTTATTTTTGCTTGAAACAGTTCGAAACCGTTCATGCATAAAAAAAGTTCGCTAATAAATAGTCTTTTTTCAATCCACCGCCGTATAGCGCCGGCGTTTATTTTCTTTTGAAAACACTTGTTTTGCTATTCTTACTCATCATCATTACAGCCCTTCACAAGTCCACTGCTGAACATAGGCCTCCCCCAAGGAATGCCACAAAGCACGGTCCTGAGCCACCTGCATCCATCGACTTCCTGCATATCTTACCAGGTCGTCACTCCATCTAGTGGGGGGGACGCCCTACACTTCGCCTGCTGGTACGAGGCTGCCACTCGAGAACCTTTCTTCCCCATCGGTTGTCGGTTCTTCGAGCTATATGGCCGGCCCATTGCCACTTCAGCTTACTAATCCGTTGGGCTATGTCGGTCGCTCTGGTTCTACTGCGGATATCCTCATTTCTGAGTTTATCCCGCAGAGAAACTCCGAGCATAGCCCTCTCCATAGCTCGCTGAGCGACCTTGAGCTTCCTCATCCGGCCAGTAGTGAAGGACCACGTCTCAGTTCCGTATGTCATCACTGGTAACACGCACTGGGTGTACAGTCTCGTTTTCAAGTTTTGAGGTATACCTGACGAGAAGATGTGCCGTAATTTCCCGAACGCTGCCCAACCGAGTTGAATCTGTCGATTGACCTCTCGGTCGAAGTTGGACTTACCTAATCGGACTATTTGTCCCAGGTAAACATACTCGTCAACAACTTCGAGCTTAGTGTTCCCAACAACTACCGGCATAGGTGTGACATGGACATTAAACATGATCTTTGTTTTGTCCATGTTCATCTTAAGACCTATCCGTTGGGAAACACTATTGAGGTCATTGAGCATAGTGCTTAGGTCCTCCAGCGATTCTGCCATAAGGACTATATCGAAGGTGAGTGATGTACTCGCCATTGATGTTGATACCGTATCCTTTCCAGTCCAGAAGCTTGAAAACATCTTCCAATGCAGCGGTAAAGAGTTTCGGGGATATGACGTCACCCTGTCTTACACCTCTCTGCAATTGGATAGGTTTCGTACTCTGGTTCTGTACTCGGATAGCCATCGTAGCCCTACTGTACAAGCACTTCAACACTTCGATATACCGACAGTCAACTTGGCATTGCTGAAGGGACTGCAGCACCGCCCAAATTTCGACGGAATCAAAGGCTTTCTCATAGACCACATACGCCAGACATAGTGGCAAATTGTACTCCTCGGACTTCTGTACAATTTGCCGAAGGGTATGTATGTGGTCTATGGTGCTAAAGCCTTTTCGGAAACCGGCTTGTTCGGGAGGCTGGAAGTCGTCAAGTCTGCGCGCGAGACGATTCGTAATGACTCTCGAAAACAGCACGTAGACGCGGCTCAGAAGGGAAATCGGTCTGTAGTTCTTCAAGAGAGCGTTGTCGCCTTTCTTGAAGAACAAGACCACCGCACTTCTGCTCCACGCCTCCGGTGTAATGCCACCATGGAGGACGGAATTAAAGAGCTTCTGAAGGACTTCAAGTACCGGTTTTCCACCCGCTTTCAGAAGCTCCGCTGTATGCATCCTCGCCTGGGGCCTTGCCGTTTTTAAGGTGCTGGAGAGCCATTCTAATCTCGCTCAGACTGACGTCCGGGATATCATCGGAATAATGTCGAATAAGACTCGCTCTTGGATCGTTACTCACACTTGCGTGCGGCTCCAACGATGACGTGTACAGCTGCCCATAGAACCTCTCAATCTCACTCAAAATCTCAGGTGCCCCGGAAACGATGCTGCCACATTCTGTCTTCAGCTTTGACAGTTGGCTCTTTCTGGTTTTTGTGTTCCTCTGCGGCGGGTCTTGCAGAACTTAGCTCTGACCGCATGGACAGTTTCCACGAGCTTGTCATTCAAATCGTCCACTTCATTGCAGTCTTCTAGGCACTGAAAACGGTTTTGTAACTCGAGCTGAAAGGTTTTGGGACTTTGGATTAGAGCACGAGGGGGACGGAGCGTTGACTTCATTAGACGAGACCTCTCCAACTTAACGTTTAGGTTCAGTGTGCCTCTAACCATTCGGTGATCGCTGCCGGTTTTCACCCTCGCAATCACTGAGACATCACTGAACAGTTGTCGTCTGGTCGTCATAATGAAGTCAATCTCATTTTTTGTCGAACCGTCGGGGCTCGACCAGGTCCACTTCCTGTGGGGCCGCTTCTGGAAGAAAGAGTTCATCATAAAGAGTCCCTCTTTCTCCATGAAGTCAGCCAACTGCTGGCCCCTTGGGTTCCGTTGCCCTATTCCAAATTTCCCTACTTTCAGCTCACCGTTCTCTCTTGTGCCTAGTTTTGCATTGAAGTCTCCCATTAACACCGTATATTGGGTTTTGGAGGAATGCATGGCTCTAGAGATATCCTCATACATTTCCTCCACCTCCTGATCGGGGTGTGCCGAGGTTGGTGCGTAAACCTGTATGACCTTCAGCGAATACCGTTTGGTGATTCTGAGTATAAGGTACGCAACCCTCGTCGACACACTCTCAATCTTTACAACGTTATTAACGAGAGACTTGTGGACGATAAATCCGACACCTCCTTGGGACAGATGGTCGCCCTCCCGGTAATAGAGCAAGTTGCCGGATTCGAGGATTACCGTGTCCTCCCCCTCTCTTCGGATAATCCTATAATATGCCAGCGTAACTTGTCTCTCTTCTTCCAGCTCCACAATCTTCTCGTCAGTCCTCAGGGTGCGTGCGTTGTATGTTGCCAGGTCGAGTCGTCGTAGGTGGCAACCGAACCTCCACCGGAGATTCTTAGCACCCCCTGCCCCGCCGTTACCATGGTCGCCACCGTAGCCAGAAATAGCGGGGCCGCCGGGGACTGGGGGCCGTTTATTATTGTCATTGCTCATGGGGGGTATATTGCCATAGTTGCCACGCTTGGCGAGCGGGTTGGCAACCGCAGTTTTTTTATTGTTATTTTGGCTATTATCAGGAAGATGCTGCTGCCCATCTCCTGCTTGTTTCTCTTTGTCGCCTTTTACGACACCCACGGGAAGATATGGGGTAGTGGATATTCTTAACCGCCACTACACGGGGTATTCTTACTAATTAGACGTTTTCAGATCGACTTTACTTTTACATTTGTATAACATTAAATAATATTTAACATTTGTAAATATCAATGAATGATATACCTTATTTTTATTTTCAAATTAAGGTTCTTCATTGTTTGATATTTACAAATGTTATTATTAGGTGAAAATTTAATTTAATAAAAACCAAGGTTTCCAGGGTGATTTGGCTGTACCTACTTATATAAATGATATTTTATAACAAAAAATAATACAAAAGGTTTGTAATCTCTTCATAAGAAGTCACTTTCTCTCAATTTCAAAGAAAATGCGTAAAAAAACACGTAGTTACCCACTAAAAACAAGTATCCTTCCATTTGTAACTTGTTTGATGTCAAATAAACTTAATTAGGTCTAAACAAGTAAAAAAGCATAAAAAAGAACATTACTTTTACACATGGCGGATGGCACAATAGGCGTGTCAAATATTTGTTCGCCGCCACAGCTAAAAGTTGTCGAAAATTGGTGCCGCAACGAATCGGTTAATTAAATCCGTTCGTTTGTATGATTCCTATAATAAAGCAGTTTCCGATCCACGAGACCCTAATTCTTTTTATTGTTTGCAATTGTCAAGAAAATGGCGATGGCCTAACTATAATGATGATTTTAGGCATATTTTTTATTTCATAGACTTTTTTCATTTGATAGATTTGCCAGAAGATGCACCCGCGGCCCTTAGAAATCAGTGTGCGGTATTTAGGAAAAAGTCTTTACAGAAAGCATTTAAAGAGGCATTTATGGATGGAATTGGTCCTTACAGACTTATGCAACAGGTAATATATTTATACTTATTATTTTACATGATTGTGTGTAATGAAATAAAACTAAAAATATTGTCTAATTCTCAAAATATAAATCTCGCATTCAAAATTATACTAAATCAAATGAAATTTCAATATTATAATGAGAAATATACTGGGAAAATAAATTTCTTTCACAGTTAAAGACAGAACCTCAACCGAAACCGCAACGGAGACCGAAGCGATTCCGACCAAATAAGCACAACTATAACAATGATGACACCTTCCTGCCTGAAGAATGCTCCGACCAGGGTGAAGAGGATGAAGTAGAACAATAAATGCTGTCTCTTTTTTCATAACTTGTCAAGTTCAAACAAAACACATTATTATTGGTAATCAAAGTATTATTAGTAAATGGAATAATAAAGACAAGCTATAATTATGTAATAAAATTTATTAGGAATAAAAAATAAAATAAAAAAGGAATTTTTACAACTCTTTATACATCCATAGACATAGTACAGGATCTGGCAGTGTTGCTCTCATTTATGCACCAACTAGTCTTATCAAATTATAATTATAACTTCTCGATTGCTGAGTATAATTTAATTTCATGAAAATGAGATGTCACATTTTTTGTCAATAAATAATTTGTGCATGGATGGCCCAATTCTTATTTATAAACTGATACATTTTCAGATTTTACGTTATGTTTCTATTATTTACAAAAATAAGTCCTAGCTTGCACTACATAATGAATTCTACTCATATATTTACTTTTCTACTCATATATTAACTACAATTAGTTTCTTTACAATGTATCATTTTTGTACATTGTAATATTCAATTGCTAAATTTTAAAAATGTTTATTTCATTCCTGTAATCATAAAATTAATACAAAGACCTTGGAATGAGACAGGCCTGTGCCAGGATGGTCTGATCTCAAGTTGACACACAAGAATGACGAAATCAAATGACTTAACTTTTAAAACATAATTGTATAAGTGAACAGAGCTAGGAACTAGTAAGATAATCAATTAGTAGTGCGATGGGCGATTGATGAATACTTTTGTTATTGCCCCCGAATAAAAATTGACGATTGTATAATACACGTAGAATAACGATTCTTATTAAATTGCAATCAAATTAAGTAACATTAACATATCTAAAAATATACACTGTTTTACGTATATTCCAAATATAATAAACTTGAAATTAAAACAAATATCATAATAAATATTTAAAATAAATATACTGCACATAATTTGTTAATTGCCTATTAATTGTGCAGTTGAGGTTTGCAATTCCACTAACTAGCATCTATTGTTAGGCCCATACTTAGCAAATGTAGGTTTGGAAATTATCTAAAACTGTCTATTCCGTAAGTATTACCGGGGTATTTTTGAAGGTCATAGACAATTTAAATGAAATTGAGATTTATAAAACAATTTCTACAGAGTAGCTAGGTTAAAAGTGTAACGATTTTTTAATTTGCAGTTCCTAATTTGAATCATCAACACTGCGCGACTTTATCCTACAAGAGTTTTAACAGTCATGGCGAAAGCTATAGCCTTCTTTATCAGACCCCGCGATTGGGCAATGGCTTAACTTTGTATATGCGAACGAGCCAATGCTCCGTGGTGTATGCCTCTTCTAAGACGTCCAGGTTGAAGTCCTTGTTGCCGATCTCTGCGCTACGAACGCGGTCGTAGCCGGGCGGTCGACCTGTGGAGAATTCAATTGTTTTCAATGGTCTTTAGGGATAAAACTCAAGTATTAAATGCCTCACTAATAGGTAGTGAGTGCCTAATTAGGTTTACTTATAACTTTGTAGTACAGAACCCAATATAGTATAAAGAATTTGTACCTTTATCAAGCCCTTCCTAGCAAAAGGATTAGCCTTAATCGACTCACTTCAAGACAATATCTAAATGAAGATTGCAGTACTAGATGTATTGCATCTATGATGCTGACCCATGTCCCCTGTCTGGTTATTTCACATCTCGTATATACTAGATGGTATACCCAGTCACCTATTGGAAGCCGTTCTGGTCTTTTCCATTGTTGGCCATTTAAGACACCCACGAGATAAAATGGAGTCATTTATTCTTTTATGCACCTATGGCAAACAAAGAAATTCCTATGGCAATGGTGAATAATTCTTTTGTATACACCTAAATCTACCGTGATGCTAAACAAGTTTAAACAAGTGGTTTAGTTTTTGGCGAGTCAAAGAGTGATTAAAATAGCACAGGGGTGAAGAAACACTGCCAACTTCCTGTCTGGGATGCTACTGAGCAATTATATACATACATAAACACTCAAGCCTGCCAGCCGGAGGTGTATCCAGACACACGGTTTTCTATTTGGCATGATCTTGAGACATCTCTTTCGCCTCCTTCACGTCCATATACCTACTCAAAAATGCTCATCGGTTCAGGGTACTCTTCATTTGGTCCACACTAAATATATCGCTTATTTTGTTGAAAAACCAGTCACGTCTGCCACTCACTTCTGCAGCATAAATACTACTACTACTACCTAGGCATTCTTGACAAAATAACCCAACTGATATTTTTTGGCCTATTTCGGGATTAGGACCCGTGCTTACGATCACTAAACAAACAAGGCAGAAATGGGAAGCCTTTAAATTACTAAATAAATACAAAGCAAAAAGAGTTTAACTTCTATATACGTAATCCCAATTTGCCGTGGCATAGAAAATCAATTACGATATCTATTTCTGGTTGATATAATAAAAATCGTATTAATATTGGTCCTTCAAGCAGAAAGATCCAGTGACCTACAAAATGCTAGTATAACAAATACAACTTACCGCCCTCTGTGTACATGAGGCCGAACTTGTAGTAGCTCATTTTGTACATGAGGCAGTTGAGCAATGTGGAAGAGCCGTCAGCGTCAACTCTGAACTCTCCAGCAGGTGTGTAGTAGTCTGCTTCTTTAATATGGGCCCCTCTGTCTGTACTACCTCCAATGCGTACCATCCATAGGAATTTGTTGATGTCTGCAGATTAAAAGAGAAAACTGTTCATATGATTTTTAATTTATCTTGAAGGTTTTAATAGGTTATTTCTTATTTGAAAATAGATCTAAATTTCTGCAGTATAACAATATTTTAGACAATAAAAAGTAGTTTTTATAAAGGTATTATCGAGACTCAAATAATTACAAATAATAAATAAAATTAATAGGCTTTGGGAGGATATGCAGGTGGAGTTTAGTAATATTGTTAGTACAGACTAAACATATGCTGTCCTCTATTTACACGCTGCAGCATCATACTACAGCAAATATTTTTTTTACGATGCTAGATTGTATTTACCACCACCAAGTTCTCCCATGATTTTTTTTCATAAATCAATTATTTTATGAACTTAGGAACTGGCTAAAATTATAAAAATTGGCCATCTAAAACAACATAATTAGACTACCAGAAAACAAATTAAAAAGAGTGACATAGATGCAATCTTCTTATATTTTTTCTTTGAAAAAATTTAAAATCTAGGTATCTAATTTTAAAGGTGGAAAGAGGGGAATACAGAATGATAATTTGGTAATTTTTCAGAAATATACTCGGTCAAAGTTGCAGTTGTCTAGAGAGACAGCTGCAACTTTAAGAGACAACTGCAACTTCCGAACTACCGTAGTTCGGACGTAGCCCATCAGCCAAGCGCTGATGCATGCACTTACTTTAAATTTTAAATGGCAGTGCCATTATTAGATATTTTTTATAGAATTAGTGACAAAGGAGCACACAGTCCACCTGATGGTAAGTGGTTGCTGTGGACCATAGACATCTGCATCTATTTTCAGTTGTGAATTAAAATGCAGATGCGTTGTCAGCCGTGAGGATTAAGATAGAATGCCTCTTTCCAGTAAAATGGGTCTCCAGTTCTCTACACTCACCATACGAAACACAGCAGCATTAAGCTGCTATTTTACGCTGGTATTCTGTGAGAGCGTATCCTTCCCCGGTCGAGCCGACCCATTAGTGCTACAACTATACTATTAATATAGCTGCAGCATGGCTCTACCACGTTCAAAATGTAAAAAGGATTTCTGTTCTCACCATCAGACGAGTAGCCTACTAGTCCACCGAATATAACCAGCACATAGTCCACATCCAACTCTCTCATGATCTCGTAGGCTTTCTCTTCTGTTGAGGCCATTGCCTGGCCCACTCGTGATATGTGCGTATTGTTCCACGTATTATTGTCTACTATGACGGTACGATTAGCCATTGCTGTTATTTGGTAGCCATAATCCCACCATGACATCACTTTCGAGTCCTGAAACGAGTTGTGTTGAAATTAAGAATGATGTTTTAAAGTCTGTCCATTGCCAAGGTGATATCATTACTACAATGGCTAGCAGAAGATAACAAATTACAATAATGCTTAATGAAATTATTATTCGGTATATTTTTTTACTTTTTTTAGAATAAGGGTGACAAATTGACAAATGGGCACATAATGCCTCATTAGATTACTGTAAATAAAGACAACTTTTAGAAAAGTATTGTCGTGGAACACTTGGTTGGAAAAAAGTTCTTTTCGTAGTATATTATTATTGATTAACAAATACAACTAAATGAACTAGGGTCTATTAAAATGAAGCGCATTTAAAATATTATTTCATTCATGGCAAGATAAGAAAAAGTGCGAGGGAGATGGATATTATTCCCTCACGTTTGCACCATATAAAAGGAGTCGTGACGGAAAAATCTTACACTTTTTCCTCATCCCCATCCATCAAATTCGTACTGTGCGATAAGGAACTTCGTTCCAAAACTGATTAAAAATTTTAAGTCCATGTCATCAATTTAATTTTGTTTAACCAGGCATTTTGTAAACATATCTATGAGTGAATTAAGAGTTTTAGATTTTTTGTGAATATACCCACCTCGGGTGTGTTCATCTTGAGCCAGGTGTAGGCTTCGCGGAAGTCGTCGAAGATGATCCTGGCGCCGTCGTGGCCGCGTGCGGACAGCACGATTGAAGGGGAGGAGTAGGCCTCTGACGTCACCCACGTGCAGTGGAACACGTATGACGTCAACAGGCAGCCCAGTACACATACAAACAGTGCGCCCACCTGACACACACACACTTTTTGGAGTGAAAAGTTTAGGCGAATGAGGGCACACAAGACTTTTCTTACCACCAGGGTGGCGCCAGTTTTGAAGAGGTGAAATATTTGACAGATTCCATAGCGGTAAAGTTAATTTATTAGGAAATTGTTAGGGTTAATGCTTCTATTTGTAATATTAGTTATTATTCATATTAATTAGATTAGAAATGAACCAAAACTACGGATATAAAAGTTAAAGTGGAAAAATAAAAAAACGTTTTATATTTTGTTGTATGGACTAATTAAAGCTTAAAATAAATAATGATGATATCCAGGTTCACATTAAACTCTTTTATCTCACCTCCGAGCGAAAGACTAAATTATTCTCGTGTTTCTTTTTCTTATCAGGCTTCTCTACTTTAGGCTCAATGTCCTTCACGTGGAGACTCAGTAGACTGGACGCAGCCACGCCTGACACTATACACATGACTGGAGCTAATACCAGCATAAGACGGACCATGACACCCTGTAAAATAGTGAACACACTACATTTATTAGACATGTTAGTTATTTCGAGGGATTACTATTAGGTTTGTTGTAGTCAGCGATCAAAGTGTATGGATCATGGTGCGGAGGCAATGGAGGAGTTCTCGACAATGCCTTCTACGCACTCAAGCTTGATTTGTCATCATGTTAAAACAATATTGAGGTTTTGTGCAATAACAATGGAGGATGAGAACGAAGGACAATGAAAACTTTTTTTTTAAATATTACACAGACATTCATCATCATCATTATTACAGCCTTTCATAAGTCCACTGCTGAACATAGGCCTCCCCTAAGGAACGCCACACGGTCCTGAGCCACCTGCATCTATCAACTTCCTGCATGTCTTACCAGGTCGTCACTCCATCTAGTGAGAGGTCGCCCTACACTTCGCCTACCGGTACGAGGCTGCCACTCAAGAACCTTTCTTCCCCATCGGTAGTCGGTTCTTCGAGCTATATGGCCGGCCCACTGCCACTTCAGTTTACTAATCCGTTGGGCTATTTCGGTTACTCTGGTTCTACTGCGGATATCCTCATTTCTAAGTTTATCACGCAGGGAAACCCCGAGCATAGCCCTCTCCATAGCTCGCTGAGCGACCTTGAGCTTCCTCATACGGCCAGCAGTGAAGGACCACGTCTCAGATCCGTAAATCATCACTGGCAACACGCACTGGTTGTACAATTTCGTTTTCAGGTTTTGATGTATGTCTGACGAGAAGATGTGTCGTAGTTTCCCGAACGCTGCCCAGCCGAGTTGAATCTGTCGATTGACCTCTCGGTCGAAGTTGGACTTACCTAGTCGGACTAATTGTCCCAGGTAAACATACTCGTCAACAACTTCGAGCTGTGCTCCCAACAACTACCGGCATAGGTGTGACATGGACGTTAAACATGATTTGTTTTGTCCATGTTCATCTTAAGACCTATCCGTTGAGATACACTATTGAGGTCATTGAGCGTAGTGCTCATGTCCTCCAGCGATTCTGCCATAAGGACTACATCGTCGGCAAATCGAAGGTGAGTGATGTACTCGCCATTGTTGTTAATACCGCATCCTTTCTAGTCCAGTAGCTTGAAAACGTCTTCCAATGCAGCGGTGAAGAGTTTCGTGGATATAACGTCACCCTTGTCTTACACCTCTCTGCAGTTGGATAGGTTTCGTACTCTGATTCTGTACTCGGATAACCATCGTTTTCACCATTCACGCAAAATACGCGCATAGACGTGGAGTTGCGGAAAACAGCCCGTCGTAAACTAAACTAAACTATCCTAGCCCTACTGTACAAACACTTCAGCTCTTCGATGTACCGACAGTCAACTTGGCACCGCTGAAGGGACTGCAGCACCGTTCAAATTTAGACCGAATCAAAGGCTTTCTCATAGTCCACATACGCAAGGCAAAGTGGCAGATTATACTCCTCTGTCTTCTGTACAATTTGCCGAAGGGTGTGTATGTGGTCTATGGTACTAATAAAGCCTTTTCGGACACAGACATTACTAACTGTTAAATATGTAAGTGGAGTTTTCTCAAAATCATAATAAAATGATGCCAACCCGGCTATCAAGCATGCCAAATATGACAAGATTCCCCCGATGGCAATCTATGGTGTAGGACTTGTATTCAGAAGTGGATTTTTATAGGTTGTAATGGATGGATGGAAGGAGGTTTATACCTTTTATTTGTGTGATATCGGTAATCACATGCATGGAATGAAACAAATTTTTGGAAATTTTACCGTTTTATTTTTATATTCCCGCCATTTCGAATGCTTTTGTAGCATCCATCGCTAAGGCGATACTGAGGTGTTCAACGTCCTGATATCATAGTTAACCAAACCTACCTCTAGCTTTTAGGAAATAATTTTTATTTATTAATTATTTTATAAATACACATTTTTATAAAATAATTGTAAGCACTTACTGCGAAATAGATGCTGAGAACTCCATACAGTATGATGAAGATGTTGGCGTCGGTCAGCTTACTAAAGCAGAAGTACAAGCCTGCAGGGAAAAGGAACACCAGAACTTGCAAGTCGAAGTAGAAGGAGGACCATGACGTAGGCTGGTGCTCGGACACCGACGCTGGAAATCACACGTTTTTATATGTAGAATAAGACTCATTTTATAAAAATTGGTGAACCAGATTAATTCTTACTTACCAATAATAGGAATGTGATTCTTAGCATATGAAGGGTCAAGCAGCGAGTAGAATCTTCCGGTCCATGGTGAAATTTTGCCTGCAAATAAAAAAAGGCAATAAATAAAGATAGTATGAATAATGTGAGAATTGATTATTAAAATACAAGAATTAGAATAGAAGAAATTAGAATAGAACAATAATTGAGTCAAGCAATTAAGCATAAACCTATGTTCATACATATAGTACATGTATACATTCATCAACTTCTTTAATAATGACTGAACTGAATAAACATTATATACTATATGGAATATCAGAAACAAAAGAAAGCTCAAAATGGGCGGGGCACGCATGCCACAAATAGGCGCAGCACTGCCTAAGCGACTGTCAGTTGCAGGCTTACATTATTACGAGCTGACGTGTCGCTACTTAATACATATTTGCGTAAATATGCCGTATTGTGCAACGACGGAATGCAAAAAAGAATTACTGGAGTAGTCATAGTACATTAACGCAATTTCTAATGAATTTTGTTAAGTTACTAATTTAATTTCCATACTTTAGTAACAATTAAACGTCGATAGGTTGTTCTTGTGTTATTATGTCATGTAGCTGATTGAGTAGCAGGTAATGTATGGCAAAGTCAAATATGTTCACCATTGGGGCTATAATAGCGTAAAGTTATTGGTGCGACATGGAGATGGTTACATCTAGCATCAATTGACAGAATTTGTTTGTCAATCTTCATATCTTTATGTTTAAAAGACACAATACTCTCTATTTGTAAAAATCAATGAGGCGTTTTCAAACTGATCACCGTATTACTGCGAGATATCACGAAACGTCACGAATTTTCTAGATTAAAACAAAAATGACCTCTATATAATATAATAACTTATGGTTCATACTCAACTCAAGCTGGCGAGTAACATAAAACATTTCTCTCATTACAGAACTAAATTGGATAATTGCGCTAACAACCAACTATACAATAATATATCTATGTCACACTTAGTTAAAATTAGACCTTAGTCTTACTCAAAGAATGTTTAGGACACTAATTATTATTTATACATACCAATGGGCACTAATTCCGCCTTTTGTATTCTTTTGTAATCGGGAATACAATAAAGAATAAATAAATACTGATCTGCCAGACTTTAATTGTGGCTCTATGGCTTAGCATGGAATTGCAGCGCTGAGGGCTAAAAGTTCGAATACCGCACGGAACAAGTATTTGTATGGATTACAAAGAATTGTTCCAGTTTTGGATGTTTGTCCTTATGCAATTTATGTATGTAAGTGTAAGAGAACCATGTAAACAGTGACTCAATTGTTTCACCATTCGTTGTATTTAAATGTAAAACTTAACTCGTACAACATAGGGTTCAAATTGCATTAGTGCGTATATTAAAGTGCAATACGAACCTGTAACTGTAAGCGCGACGGCGGCAGTTCCAAGTGTAGCCAACAGTGTGCTGAGCAGCGCCTTGAACAGAAGCTCGAAGTTTGCGGGCGACAGACGCTCGCGCAAATATTGGGCAAACGCGTACAACTGACATAAGCCAAACGTACCTAACGCCTGTGAGGGAAATTTATATCCAATTTATAGTTCCAGTTAGATACAATCATGAAACAAAACAGTTAGTAGTTGATCAATATCAATCTCATTCTATTCATTCATTCATTATAGCGTAACAAAAGTCCACTCATGAACATAGGCCTCCTCCATAATATCCTATGCAACAAAAGGTAGATATTATTTACATATTTATTCATCGTCATTTTTAGGTAGATTTATTACATGTGATAACTGAAAATATTAAATAAGTGCGGTTGCCAATCCGCCAGCCAAGCTTGGCAACTGTGACAAAATCACAAAATCACAAGACTCAATCTATGGGGGATATCTATATTCAGCAGTGAATCTTTATAGGCTGTAATGGATGGATGGGTCTTTCATTGGAGATCCTTTATAAAAAAAAATACAAGGTCATAGCACCTACCTAGAGGCACCCTAACATACATTATAAATGCAGCTGGAATATTTTCCAAAAAAGAGTGTACCCCAAAGATATTTTGATACTGGTTCAAAAGAGCTACCATTCAGCAGATAATATTTATAGGATATGTCACTATACTATTTGTCTAGTGTTGGCAACATTAAAAATAATATACTAAAAAATATAAAAAACTGTCCTCAAATCCACTTACCACATTAACGATAAATTAATGAAATATGATAATGAATTTAAAAGATTTTATTTAGCTATTGTATACCAAGAAATTATTTTGAGGTTTACAAAGCATTTTCTTTACTTACCAGCATATGCTCGGAACTCTGCACAGGTTGGAAGCCGACAAATGAGATCTGCATGGACAATATTGTCCCTACACAATACAGTGTGCTGTAGGCAACATAAACTCGAGCTGAAAAACGTCCCAGCATCATCAGTGCTAGGACATGGAGTGGGATGAGGTTTATGAGAAATACATAGCCACCCCATGATGATACCTAGAACAATACAAGAATAGAAAGTTAGAATAAATAAAGAAATATGTATAATTATGGCTCTTTTCTTAGATGATTCAATTTTAAAGAAAATATATAAATAAAATATTAGGTCAATTTTAAATAAATTATTGGTAAATACATTCCAAATTTAGTTAAACAGTTGAATGATTCAAAAGGAAATATAATAGTGAGATTCGTCTGTCTCCCTTTCGTAAGTTAATTCTGCTAGGATAATCTCAAAAACTATGTAACAATGTTAAAATTAAACCCTGCTGAGCGATAATATTGATGCAACATATATTACTTGACCAAAACAATTAGGCGCACGACAGGATTGCGGTTTCAACGCCAGCACCCCACCTCTATACCCGTGCTTCCTTTAGTGACACACAGTCATGCTCGGCAGTGATAATACATACATAATTAGAGCTTCTTGAAGTTTTCGTTTTCAGTTAGTTGTTATAGTTTATTTTGTCATTGTTGATTGTTTTGTTATCGCTAATTTGTTATTAGTTTTTTTTTGTTGAGAATAATTTGCACAAGATTTTAATAGAAAAATTGGGGTATCACTTTAAGAAATGGTCCAGAAATCGAGACGTTTTGATCGAAATACCACTGGTAGCAGCGTGGCATCCTGATTTTGATTTTGAAGCAATGTCAGGGATTGAGAGTTACACTCTGATTCTGAGTAAATTAAGATTCATAAAAATAAGAATGTCTAACTAAACACGGACATATTTTTTTTCTAATAGCTATCTAAAATCTTCCCTATAATTATATAAATATATAAATGTATTAAATATGTAATAGTATTTAATACATACAACTTACTAGTATGTACTTAGTACATGCTATATGATATCAATTACCATTCCTGTGTTCCCTCCCTAGTTCTAGTGACATCTTAGCTGTCATGCGCCTAATTGTTTTGGTCACACATAGTACAAGAAAAAATAATTTTTAATTTTAACTTAGTTACATAGTTTCTTAAACTATTCTAGCAGAAGTAAGAGAGAACAAGGGAGACAGACGAAGAGAAAGTCTTAAACTTGATGTTCATGATAATGAAGGATCATCAAAGAAGACAGATTATTATAATTATAATAAATTAAACTTTTTTATAAAAATATAAGGCTAAAATTATGTATGGAAGTGCAAAAACTAACAAGTTATTAAACTTGTCAGTGTGAAACTTCCACCTGATTGATCTATGATTGACTTATAGACTACTGTATCACAATTTGTACAATAATAATAAACATGTTATAGATGCTTAGATTAGTCAATCAAGTTGATTTGCCATTTAAAATTATGGTTTCCTAAAAATATACTAATAAATTTATCTTACGCCACCACCAAAACAATAAAATTAGGGGGATGACAATGATCTTAGATTATATTCTTTTCCAACATTTTTCTTACCATATAGAAGTACGCTAGAGCAGTCATTGTAGCCCACAATATAGTTCCAGTGTTGACTGCTTTAATCCAGAAGTAGTAAGTGAGCAACATGCAGAAGATAGCGATGCCCTCATTGTCATAACTACCAGCAACGGAACGACTGATGTAGCCAGGGACAATGGCAATCATTGCTGCTGCAACTAATCCAGCACCTTCATCCTGTTGAAACAAAACTATTATTATGTAATATCAAGCTAAGATTTAGTTTTTTTTTATTTATTTGGTGATTAAAATTTTAAATTTGACACATTAAAAGTTTGAGTGATGTGGTAAGATTTTTTTTGTTAAACTGTCAGAACTCAAAAATTGTTCTAGTAAGACATTGGTTTATTATGCCTCCAAAACTAGTAATATAATAAATTAAAAGTAGGTTTACCTTGAGCTCCTTCGTCAGCAAGTATGTGACAATAGTAGTGAGAGAGGAAAAGAATGGTGCTAGAAAGACACAGACATTCCTAATGTCTATAGTAATGTTTAGGAACTGCATGATATTATAAAGTGTAGCTGATGTCACCATAAGCCCAGGGTATATTGTTCCTGCATAGATAATATAAATAATGATAAGCAAAATGTTTTTGAAAAATCTAATTCTCATATTGTTGTCATTATGTTAACTTTTATTCAAAAGTTTAATTACCTCCTATGATACGTCCCAATGGATACCATGCTCGATCATCAAACCAATTGTGAAACTTATAAAAACCTTCCTCTGTAAGGTACCGTGTGGTTCTGTAGTTGAAATATGGGTCAAACTCGTGGATCACACTCTCAAAACGAAGCACCGAAAATAGCCTAGTTGCAAAAGCTGAAACAATTATTATAAAATATATTAATTTCATTTTTGTATATACATTATATGAGAATTTAATACAACAGTTATATTAAAATTCAAGTGCCATATTGATTTGTGACTAAACATGAATATTATTAAAGATATAGAGATTAGAATTGAGAGAAATATATTTACATAATGTTTGGCCAATTTTCAAATTATGTCCTTTCCATAATAATTTCACAATTTCTCTTTCCTGAATTCAATTGTTTCTTTATTGAATAACACTAGAGCAAGGTATGGTCATCAATCACTAATAAAAAACTAGATACACAATCCCGTACAAAAGTTCTTTAAGAACTGTCACCAATTATTTTGACTTAATTCTAGTTGAAATAAATATACATAAATGTAAATTCAACCTGAAATGCATTGCCTAAAGTTGTATTTACAAAGCTACATAAAAATTATTATTATTATTATTATTATTTGGTCTATTTGGCCCTTGGTATTGTGATTATGTCACAATAATTCTGCCAATGTCCGGTCCTTGGTCTGTCGCACCTTGTCTTTAGGCTTTTCGGTGGAAAAGGAGTTAGCGGTTATTAGGTGAAAATATGGATAAAAACAAAGCAACTAAATACATAAATTATGGACCACACAATATAGAGCAAACATCTAGTTATAGGAGAGAATTAGCCTGGGCAGGGAATAGAGAATTAGTTTAAGCTAAATTTAGTACACGATAATTAGAGTTTAATATTATACATTTGAATATATTTTGAGATCATATTGACATATATGGAATTGGGGATAGTTAAGAGGGAATTGATATTCATTGGTCGAGGGATTGTGTTGGGAAGAATGTCATATAAAGAAATTGGGTGATTTTGGCAATTAAAGAAAATGTGGTCTGGGGTACCTTCATCCAGTCCACATTCACAGAGGGAATGATCTTTGATTCTAATTTTAGCTAGAAATACAGGAGTGCAGGCATGCCCAAGCCTTAAACGGCAGATTGTAGATGTGATTTGTTTGTTCAAAAAGCTAAATTTAAAGAACCAAGGTTTTGGAGGGATTTGGGGTTGAATTTTACCAAAGTGACAACCTTTAATATGTCTGGATGTGCTCCATTCTCTGTTCCAAGAGTTCTTTAATTCAATTTGAGCTAATGACATTAGATCATGAGAGTAAATCATTAAATGAGAAGGACAGCCAGTATCAACAGCTCCTTTGGCCCAAGAGTCAGCCTGTTCATTTCCTTCTATACCACAATGACTAGGAATCCACACAATCTCCACATCAAGCCCACTCTTATTACAATTTAGTATGAGTTCCTTAATTTTCAGTATTAATGGGGAGATGGAATTCATTTTAAATATATTGCTCTGTAATGACATTAGGCAGCTTTTTGAATCAGTAAATATAACTGACTTAGGAATTTTATGGGAAAGAATATAGGAAATAGCCTCATATATGGCTACAGCTTCCCCAGTAAAAACAGAAGCTTGTGGAGGACATCTATAATTAAGGACAATTTTGTATTTGGGGATCCAGACTGCGGAACCGACACATTTGAATGGAGACAATTTGGAAGCATCAGTAAAAATATATAGCCAATCAGACCATTTTTTTGCCACAAGGTTGTAGAAAGTTCTGTTTGCAGTGGGGGAATTTTTATTAATGTTTAAATTCAGAGTGATTTTAGGGTTTATTAATATAGCTTCATAGCTGGTTTCAAAATAGGGTAGAATTAGGGATGTTACACAAGGATAACCAATATTTTTTAATCTATTTAGAGATTTAAGAATAGGGGGCCAGCTTTTATTAAACCAGTAGGAGTTGTTTACAGCTAATAGTAGCAAGGATTCTAGTTTACGATGTAAGGGGTGAGATGATAGTTGTAGAGTTTTTGAGAGAAATCTATCAGCTAGAAACTGTCTTCGTAAAGAGAGAGGGGGATCAGCACATTCTACTTGTAAAGCATTTTTAGGAGTTGATTTCATTGCGCCTGTGATAATACGTAAACATCTTGTTTGGATAACATCAAGTCTATTAAGGGCCGATTTGTTGCAGGGCTCCAAAAGAAAAGAGCCATAGTCGAAGTGACTGCGGATGATGGCATTGTATAGGATTTTTTGACACATGGGGTGAGAACCCCACCATACGCCTGAAAGGGATCTAAGAATATTAACACCTTTCTCACATTTGTCACAGATGTAATTAAATTGAGCAGTACCAGTCATATGACAATCTAAGAAAATACCTAAAAATTTTACTTTGTTAACAACTGGAATAGATTCACCATTATATGAGATATCAATAGTAGGGAAAACACGTTTTCTACTAAAGGTTATTGTTTTGCTTTTAGAAGCTGAAAGAGAGAGGCCATGGTCAGTAAGCCATTGATTAAGATAATATAAGCCTCTGTTAAGATGATGGGAGGCAGTTAGGATATCAGGAGCTGTTACATAGATAGCAAGATCATCTGCATATTGTAATATGTCACAGAAAGATGAAATCGAATGTTCAAGGTCATATGTGTAGATATTGTAAAGAATAGGGCTTAAGACCGAGCCCTGTGGTAGACCCTTCCAGATTGTTCTGGGCGAGGTTAACATTCCTTTATTGCGAATTTTGATAGATCGTCCCATGAACAGATTGTAAATGAAGTGTACAGTCTTCGCAGGGATGTTCAGATGAAGCATTTTCTGCCTGAGCACTGGAAGAAGAACACTGTCATAGGCAGATGATATGTCCAGGAAACAACCCACCAAGTATTCATTTTTAGAAAAGGCCAACCTAATATCTGTAGTTAGGATGCTCAAACTATCTAAAGTGCTTTTACCTTTACGAAAACCAAATTGACTTTTTGCAAGGATGTTATTATGTTCCAGAAACCATTCAAGTCTGTTTTTAATTAAATGTTCTAAAATTTTGCAAAAAGTAGATGAGAGTGCGATTGGGCGGTATGAAGAAGCTTCTTTGGGATCTTTTCCGGGTTTAAGGATAGGTATAACAATTTGGTTTGACCAAGACAGAGGAATATTAGATGATATGTAGATATTGTTCAGAATTTGGAGAAGAATTAATTTACCTTTAAGGCTTAATTTACATAAACACGCATAGGGTATGCCATCTTCTCCTGGAGAAGAGGATTTTAAGCCAGATAGCACAGACTGTAATTCGGACAATGAGAAGATTATCTCATTATTGTTGATGTAAGACGGGACTGGAATGGGTGGGCATATTGTATATTCATTAGGGACAAAAGGAGGAGCTAACATATCAGAGAAGACTTCTAACCATGGTAAAGAGTTATCAGAAATGTTGGAATCAGAAAGAAGGGAGCCACGAAATTTTTTTATATTTTTCCAAACTATTGTTACTGGTGAATTAGGGGACAAGGATTCACAGAATTTTTTCCATCCATTTTTTTTCTTTTTGGAAAGTAGTCTCCTTGTTTGAGCGGAGGTTTTTTGAAATTGTATAAAATTATCGGTTGTCATACAGTGATTATAAAGCTTATCTGCAGCTTTTCTCCTTTTAATCATAGTGGTGCACTCAGCATCCCACCATGGAGGGGAGGATAGGTTCTTGCTGTGGGGTTTTTTGGATGGGATAAATAAGTCAGCTGCTTCAGTTATATATTGTACCAATAGAGAGTACGAAGTTATTGGGTTGGTTGAGAAGTCAACCTGCATTTGCGCAAATTTAGTATCTAAAAATTTAGTGAAATTAGTCCAATCTGCGTCTTGGAGCTTATATTTAAGGAGGGGCATAGTAAAGGGTAAAGGAATAACCGCATTGGGTTTGGTAATAAGAATGGGAAAGTGATCACTTCCATATGATTGATTGAGAGTTTTCCAAGAAAGCTGAGGGGCTAGACTAGGAGAACAAGCTGTTAGGTCGACAGCAGACCTAGGGTCTAGTCCTGGGTATACTCTATGAGTGGGGGAACCATTGTTGATAATGCAAGCATTAATGTCTTCAAAAATTTGTATAAGTTCTGAAGAGTATATGTCACAAAAATGTGACCCCCAAGATACATGATGTGAATTAAAATCACCGGTAATAATAAAAGGGGGAGGTAACAAAGAGAAGAGAGAGGATAGTTCTTGAATTAATTGGATATTTGGATGAGGGATATATATTGAAATAATGTCGATTCCTGCAATTTTTGCAGCTACGGCATTAATGTGTTGGCTATGAGGAGGGAGTGCAATTTGAGAGAAGGGTAGGGATTTTTTTATGAGTAAGCAACAACCACCATAACCATCATTTCTATCTTCACGGAGGCAAGTAAAGCCTTGCAAGCGAAATTTGGAGTTAGGTAGGAACCATGTTTCTGAAATTGAAGCAACAGAAATTGAATGTTTATTTATTAGGAAGATGAGTTCAGATTTTTTAGGTTGCAAGCTTCTACAGTTCCATTGAAGGAGATGGAGGTCTTTTGTTTGAGTCATTTATATTATCTATTAAACTAGCTAAATTAAAGATTTTTTCTGCAACGTTGTTCGGTAGTGAATCTGACATTTTCAAAATTAAATTATTGAGGAGGGAAATTAGGCATTCAACAAGATTTTCATTTGGAGATATTTGGTTGTGCGTGTTGGATAAAGCGCATCCATTTGGAGTAGAGGATGGGCAGTCTGCAACTATTCTTTGATGAGCTTGTTGGTCATACCCCATGGGAATTCTAGGTATGGGGCGGGGAGGTTTGAAGATGGTTTTTCTATATGCCTGTGACATGGTGGGGAGGTTGAAGGAAGTAGTAGGAGTAGGTGAAAGCTGAGTAGAGGCCACTTCGGAATACGGTTTTTGAGGATTGTTCAATCGGATAGATGGGATTTTGGCTGAAGCTTCTATATAGGATATATTTTGTTCTGACATCATAACTTTGATAGAAATCTGCCTTTGGTGTTCCGGACGGTTTTTGTTATTAGCAAAATGATTTTTGGAGCATAACAGACAAGTGGCTTCACTTTCAGGAACAGAACAACTTGCTCCAGTATGCTCTTGGGCACAACGGAAGCAGCGTGGTTTAGAACGGCATTGATCTGCTATGTGGCCAAATCGACAACAGTGTTTGCACTGGATGGAGGGGAGTTGATAAGTTTCAACAGCAAGGGATGTGTAAAATGCATATATATATTTGGGGAGTAACTGACCTTCAAATGTCAGAACAATAGATTGAGTGGGAACCCATATTGGGGATGTTGACCCTTCAGCAAAAGTCTTTCTCTGAAGACGGCGAGCTTTTAGGATTTTACCACAACCAGGAGGAAGCTCAACAGCTTCTGCTAGTTCTTCCATTGACCAATCCACAGGGATACCGCGGATGACACCCATTCGAGAAACATTATAGGATGGAATAGTTGCAATCAATTTTTCTTTTGCAAGCATTGGATTATTAAGAAATTTGTTAGCCTCATCGGCTGAGCAGAATTCAATAGAGATGCGATTTCTGCCAACGCTTTTGACTCCCCCTCTTTTGATGTTTTCTATTTTATTTTTAGACAAGCATAAACCTATTTTAATTGGTCGAAGTGATAGCCCTATTCTAGGATCTGACGTAGCCCGGGAGATGTGGACAATAAAAGGGCCTTGGTCGTTTGGACCATACATTCTAAGATTTTGTTCTAGGCAGGGATGTTTATATATTGTGTTTATTGACGCTGTTAAATCAATTACAGAATTCTTTTTATATATTACTGGATCAAATGATCGAGTCTCAGCGTGTCTTTTTTTACCACGGCCACAATCATTATTGTCACTTACTCCAAAGCACATGTCTTCATCGGGAGGGTCAGGGGATTTCTCACGAGGAGACCCCGTTTCGTCACCCATAATTGGGTTTAATGTTCGAAATAACTATAACTTATAAACGTAGACTTACAGCAGAGGAATCCACCACCACAAAATAAGGGAATTAAGGAGAATTAACCAAATACCGAAAAGCACTCACAAGTACGTGTTAACCATTCGACCGTTGGCCATAGACCTCCTACATAAAAATTAAAAGTACACACAATTGATCGAGTGGGCCTCATACAGGAAGGACATTTTTTGTCACTGATTGTGAATCTAGTTTATTTATTATTAGTGATCGATGGGTATGGTAATTGTAATTGTAGCTAGTGGGAGTTGTTCCATTTCTGCATTAATGTTTTCTATTACGACAACATTTTGTAACCTAAACTAAAATATTTATATGGAAACGGTATACCATTTCCACACAAATACAGATACATTAACACAATTTATTGAAATCCAGTCAAAAGTTATAAGGAAGCCAAATACGCTTCTCACCATAGTTACACTATTACACATTACACTGTTCAACTGTCTGAAAGTCCACAAATTAATTTTACAATAAATTTTGTTAAATATATGGGAAATAAACGCACATCTTTTTAGGTAATAAAAATAAATAAGGCCGGCATCTTTAATATCTGCAGAGTAAAATAGTGATTGAGGCCGGCACAATTTGCCGTATCTATGACAGAATAACGAAACTAATAAGCTGCGCTGTAAAAATGTTATTTATATCTAAATAAAAGCAGAAAATGTAAAGAAATAACTTACATAGGATTGCTGCCATTGATAAAACAGCCAACTTTATAAACGTGAGCTGTTTATCAGAAGAGAGATGAGGCAGTTTAGCCTTAGTATGTGTCTCTACAGTCATCTTTGATACGATTTATTTGACTGCAGTGATTAAACTTAACATTAAAATAGTTATTACTAATGAACACTACACAATATATAATAAATTCGCCGGCAACCTATTCATTTATCCCAAAGCTATCTGGCAAACGGCAAACGAAAACGAATGTTTGACGTCGTTGACACTTAGCGAGCAGCGTGGCCTAATAGGGCTTTCACGCCATTGCTATGTTATCGGTTAGTCGATTTTTTTTTGATGTAGATAATAAATATCCCACATCTTAAAAATTATTACACATCTTTAAAATTATTTTAATTCATTATGTATAATTTTTATATAACTAATTTATCTAATGCCAATGAATTACAACATTTTCGTTTTTGTTTCCAACATTTGATATCAAACTCAATTATATCTACAATAATTAGGTATTTGAATCAATGTGTACAAAAATCGGTAATAAAATGATTTAATTTTACGTGCATTAATTTGTATTTAAATTACTATGTGCTAGCGATGCCAATTTAGTTTCTTTGGAGCTATATCTAATCCCTTTACAGTTTGTTTCGCCTTTTATTTAATGAATAATGATTTATAGAGAGATGGCAGTACGGACCTTCGGTCAAACGATTGCAATAACAGTACGATTAGCACAGATGCTTTGCGACTTGGTTGAACGAACGATCCGCTAGAAACCAAAGAGTGTACTAATCGTTTATCGAAAAATGATGAATAATCACCGTCTGATATTACTCGTGGAAAGTGGTGTGTTATGCTGCGTTAATCATTACATTGTAAATAAAAATAAATTAAAGAAAAGCTGCATTCTTAATAGTTTCCCTGTCCGCAAAACAGACTCAATAGTTAAACAATTGTAACGTTCATAAATGATTCATGGGACAGGGAAAGGGTTAAGATAACATTATTGAACTAGCTGTTCCCCGCGACTTCGCCCGCATGTTATTTGGGGTTTTAATTGTTTTGCGCAGAACCTTTATTCTTTTTCTAAAATAAAAGTAGCCTAAGTTACTTCTTGTGACATCAGCTATCTGCCAGTGAAAATCCCTTCAAAATCGGTCCAGCCGTTTCAGAGATTAGCCGGAACAAATAGACAGATAGACAGACCGACACACAGGCAAAATGTTAAAAAATTGTATTTTTGTTATTAGTACCGTATATACTTTCATATGCATTTAGCAAAAAGCTGTAATTTTGACATTACAAACAGACACTGCAATTTTATTTATTTGTATAGATTTGCAACTTGAAGAAAAAAAATTGATTTAATTCCAGGAAGGAGACATACTATTTGTATGTAAAAATCCTAAAGAGCAATGCTAAGTCATCGATTACAATATGCCAAACTCTGTGCTGACCACAAGTCCGAATCTCTATTAAAAGCAGTCGTGAATTTGTTTTAGTTATTTTTTACGTCTTTATTATTTGACAATCTGACATTTTCTTTACGTGATAACTAAATATAACTCTCACTAACTTACATTACGACAGTCTCAATATGATACCAGTAACACTAACAGTGTTTCTTCATTGTTCTTGTTTTGAAAACTTTGCTGCTGAAATAAATGTCGGTTGTTTTCTTATCATCGATTATATCATCAATCACGATAATTTTAACCAATTACAGTTAGTCAATAAGATAATCGATTACGTTCGTCACTAGTGACTTATCTCGACTCTGCGCGACCTCGACTTGACATCGTATACAATTATAGTCTTTGCATTAATAGCATGGTGCGGGTGACAGCTCACGCCCATGAAGTTTCGTATTTTTTAGATGAATTCTCATACAGATATTGTTGTACTTCATGGATGGGTACCGCCCACTTACGACAGTGATGTGTCACGCTAAACTATGCCATGCCTTAACGAACATAGACTATCAAAAATCGGGTTTGAAATAAATCGAATATATATACAAATTACGTAAATATGTATTGGAATTGGAACTATTCGTTCAACAAATTCTGATTTACGGAAACAAAACTCACATAGACGAATATGCAGTGTTTCCGATGCATGGACGATAAATTATTCGTGGGTCAGCTTAGGCAAAAAATATAATCATAAAGCAAATTACGCATTGTGTCAAAAAGACTATCATAACTCATGGCGGCCAAAATGGCTACAAAAAACCTATTTCTTATTTTTATTTCTTACTTACTTATCTTCACGCACAATCCCTGACGGGGTAGCCAGAGAGAACAGATCGCCAAGTCTCACGATCCTTACATACCTCTTTCGCTTCTTTCAGATTCATTATCTATTTTATCTATTATATCTATTTTATTTCATTAGATTTATAAACCAAATTCTCGATTATTTTTATCTTACGTCCCGATATTTGGCCCATTGAACCTGCCAAAATTAATATACATATAGAAAAAGGCGCTAGCACTCGTACCTTGAAAAGTTGCCGGTGCAATCAACGCCGTACTGAAAATTACAAATGCTGGCAGCCAATTTATTTGTTTAAATATCAATATGAATGTTGAAATCAACATGAAATAGAAGATGATTTTTATTTTCAAATTAATACATAGTATAATCATTGAAGTGTCTGTTTGTAATATTCAAATTGATACAGATATTGTTGTACTTCATGGATGGGTACCACCCACTTACAACAGTGATGTGTCACGCTAAACTATGCCATGCCTTAACAAACACGCAATGCAGATATGCGTAGGCATTTTCTCATTAAAAACCCGAAACAAAATCCGTTCTGTAGTTACGAATAAAAACGTAGATAGATCAACGCAGCGTCGATCTTGGTTTTATATGAGGTATAAAGCTTGCGTCTAAGGCCTAGGTTTTAATTGATACATTTATTTATTGTATAGCATTATATTATTATGATACATAAATAGAATGAACGTTACGTGTAGGCCTGGGTATAGAATTTTTATGGATATATTTTTTCACACTGTCTTATCTCTGTTATTAGTTACGTGGACGTTCACTTCTGCTGTCAGCGCCAAAATGGCGAAAATCAAACCGCCTCATTATGTCACGCTTATAGCCAGTCCATAATATATTATAGAGGTCAGTGTTGTGACGAGTAACCGAGTATCACAATAATATTTTTTATCTTATTCTAACAAAGGTAACTGTCATATGTATGAATAAATAAAAACTTGACTTGACTGTCTTTTAGTGGATTTGGTATCTCGTGGAACAGGATCTGTTCATTCAGTTTGTTTCTCACAGTTACAGTCTGCTTTTTTAAGATATCTGTTTTTTTTATATCTGATACGATAAATACGCCTCACTACTGTATGAAACATCGTCTCCGATCTCCTCTATGTGAATCTGTGCAAAATCTGTGTTCTGTTGAAGTGATGGATTAGATTAGCTGACTTTTTCATTTTCACTAGATTCCGATTTGAATCATACTAAAAAAGTTGTGAATGTGTTGAATAAAAAATTTCGTATTATTATTTAGCTGATGTCAGCAAGTTACGTATTTTCTGAAATTGTTAGATTCACTGACCGCACAATTTATTAAAAATAGTATTTTATTAATACCTTTGGATTTTGGTGACTAATAGGAAGAGCGAAGATTCGTATTATGACGGTGACTTCCTAAAGCTATTCAAAACCTTTCAAGTGATGTCTGACGGAGATCCCTCCCTTGAAGAAGATGTACCAAAGCCTCTATTGGAAAGACCTGAAGAAAATGTATTTACTCCAAAGATAGCAACTCCTATTTACGCTGGTGGTGTGAAATTACAACACAAGAAGTCAGACGCTATTGAAACAGAATTATTTCTGACTGACTCGCAAAGAAATGACCTTGCGTTCCAAGAGTTGTTCCAGGGTGGAGATGGAGATTATATTGAAGTAAGTCAGATGTATAATATTGCATATGTGTATTATGTTTACTGTGTTCTAATTACATATTGTGAGTTAAAATATAAAAATATAAAGTGACTGAAAGAGCAATTGTTCAATAGAGCTAATTTAAGGGTATTTTTCTAAATTATTTGTGCATACTCTTTATAGCAGTCTGAGTAGAAGTATAAGACCTACCTTTAGATTAACTTCCCAAAGTCCAGTGTTATTTCTCACTTCACTTTCAAATAACCACTATATGAAAGATCTTTTTTTTTTATACAATGTACAATGTTTTAGCACAGTTTCAGCAAAATTAAAAACACAATTACTATATTCTTGTTAGTTAGACAAATCTTCTATTAGGTAGTTTTGTTATTAATTATTAGGTAGTTTTGACAGTCCTCTCTTGATGTTAACCTAACACTACCCAAAGAATTCTGAAGAGACCGAAACAGGTGAAAATCTAAGGGTGCAATTTCAGGACTATATGGTGGATGCATCAACACTTCCAAGCTTTCTCAATTTTTACTGAGTGGCCAGAGGTGTGTGATCTGGTATTATCATGATGAAAGACCACTCCTTTTCTGTTGATCATTTCTGGCCATCTTTTCTCAATTTCTTGCTTGAGTCGCATTAGATGTTGGCGGTAGTAATCTGAATCGATGGTTTTGCCTGACGGAAAAATCTCATAATAAATTAAGCCCTTCCAATGCCACCATACATACAGTATCATCTTATTGCGTGTTAATCTGGGTTCTAAATTTTTTTTGTCTAATTCTAAGTGTTTTAAAATATCCCTATAAAGATTTTATTGTTTAGAACATTCTTTTGTTGCCAGTTATACCATCTTACTTTTAAAAACAATTCTGTTTAGGTATTAAGTATTTTTTAGCTTTTGGGAAATTAAGCATTAATTTATGCTTGTGTATTATCACAGACATATATATTGGTCATTATGAAATTTATATACTTGTGAGCTTTTAGTTGTAACCTGTAAATAATACTGAGGTCCAGATATAATTTTTTAAGTTGTGTATCGCTAGCAACACAAAGTCGGGAATTTGCATTTGGAAAAATCCCAAATTAGGGGCTTTTTAGGTGCTAATTAGGTGCCAAGTTTAAAAATTAGGTGCTCTAAAATTTTCACCGCAACGAACGATTGAAATTTGCGTTGCTAGCTAAACATCTCGCTAGCAACGCAATGAAATTATTAAATATACGATTAATATTAATAGCAAGGAATTAGGTGCTAATTAGGTGCTGCAAGTATACGCAGTAACAAGGCGCCCCTAATAAAAATAAAGTCGTTATTCAGAACATAGCAGATGCAAAATTCAGATTTCCTGAAAATCAAAATAGAATCAAAATTGCTTTCAGAAAAAGTCCAAGTAAGGGGCTTTTTAAGTGCTAATTAAGTACTAAGTTTAAAAATTAGGTGCTCTAAAATTTTTACCGCAACGACCTATTGAAATTTGCGTTGCTAGCAAAACGTCTTGCTAGCAACGCAATTAAGTTATTAGATATACGATAAATATTAATAGCAAGGAATTAAGTGCTAATTAGGTGCTGCAAGTATACGCAATAACAAGGCGCCCCTAATAAAAATAAAGTCGTTATTCCGAAAATAATTCAGCAAGGCAATTTTATTTTATAGGATAAGGGTGACAAACGAACACACAGTCCACCTGATGGTAAGTGGTTGCTGTGGCCCATAGACATCTACATCTATCTTCGATTAAGAATCAAAATGCAGATGCGTTGTCACCCGTGAGGACTAAGATGGAATGCCTCGTTTCCAGTAACAAGGGTCTCCGGTTCTCTACACTCACCATATGAAACACAGTAGCGTTAAGCTGCTATTTTACACTGGTATTCTGTGAGAGCGTGGTCCTTCCCCGGTCGAGCCGACCCATTCGTGCTACAACCATAATATAGCTGCAGCATGGCTTTACCACGTAAAAAATTAGGTCTTTGTGTTTGTGCCATCTAGCGTCTATACTACTTGACCACCTTGAGAGTCCATCGATTTTGATTTGATAAAATGACTAGAACTATAGAACGTTGTAGATGGCGCTATTTATTACAAAGCAATTTACTGGAAAGAAAATATCCTTTCGAGTACACTAAAGTTTAGGCTTCACATGTCTAAAAATAAGAATTGTAACATTTATTTGGTTGAAAATTATATTAAATAATATTATAAATCTATAATAATATAATTTAATTTTTTCAAATATAATCATTTTAAATCTGAAAAACGAAAAATGCCGTTCATACCTTTTAGTAAGGTAATGGTGGTTTTAAATCCTATAATTTCCAGAATATTACTGTCATCTACATACAACCTCAATAATCTTTCAGCACCTAATTAGCACTTAATTTTTAGGAACTGATAAAGAACAAAAAATACTGTTCATACATTATGGTAAGGTAATGGTGTTCGTGGACCCCATAATTCCCAGAATAATTTCGTAATCTGTATCGGGTTTCGATAATCGATCTGCAGCACTTAATTAGCACATAATTCCTTGCTATTAATATTTATTGTATATCAAGTAACGTCAGCAGCGTTGCTAGCGATACGTTTTGCCAGCAACGTAAATTTCAATGGTTCGTTGCGGTGAAAATATTGGAGCAACTAATTTTTAAACTTGGTACTTAATTAGCACCTAAAAAGCCCCTAATTTGGACTTTTTCTGAAAGCAATTTTGATTCTATTTTGATTTTCAGGAAATCTGAATTTTGCATCTGCTATGTTCTGAATAACGACTTTATTTTTATTAGTGGCGCCTTGTTATTGCGTATATTTGCAGCACCTAATTAGCACTTAATTCCTTGCTATTAATATTTATTGTATATCTAATATATTCATTGCGTTGCTAGCGAGACGTTTTGCTAGCAACGCAAATTTGTTAAAAATGCAATGCAAGGCTCAGCCAAACAAAGAAAAGTAGATGGAGTACAGTGTATATTTTAAGTGACTTGAAAAACCAAGGCAAAACCATGGTTACCTTATCGTAAGAACACACACTCAGGCACACATACACTCACCGGCACGGAATTTTGGCCAAGCGGTTATCTCGCGATAGCAAAAGCTTTAAGTGTTTCTGATGAATGTTTGTTATGCAGGTATGTCAAAAAATGTTTGCTCTCAAGTTCAAGAGGGTAATTCATTATGTTTAAGTGCACCATGACGAATTCTTTAATTTTTAGTTGAATCGGGTCATTTGAGCGACTAAGTTCACATTTTAAATTTGTGTGTTGTGAAAAGTTTACTGTAAGGTTATTCAATTATTGTGATCTTGTGTCTTAATTCAATAACTAAAGGTGCTTTAAAGCCAATAAAAATGCCATTAACACCAGCACAAGTTGCACAAGCAGTAGCATTAATTGACCAAGGGCTGACACAGCGTGAAGTTGCTATTGTGCTTAACGTACCACGGTCCTCAATGCAGTATTCACTGAAACGATACCAGGAGACAGGACGCTACACCCGCAGGCCAGGCAGTGGGGGCGTAAGGTGCACATCGGCCCGGGACGATCGTTTTATTGTTATGGAGATTTTGAGAAACCGCTACCTGACCACTGTTGAGATACGCCAGCGGCTCCAAATCGCAAGAGGCGTTAGTGTTAGTGAGCGTACGGTGAGAAGACGAATGGAGGAAGTGAATTTAAAAGCTCGTAGACCAGCACGAGGTCCAGAACTTCTCAGACAGCACCGAGTAGCCCGACTTCAGTTCACAAGAGAACATGTCAATTGGACCCACGAGCAATGGGCTAGAGTGTTGTTCACAGATGAGTGTCGAATAGCTTTACGTGCTCCAGACGGTCGAGAACGAGTGTGGAGAAAAAGAGGAGAGAGGTTTCTACCCATTACCACCACCCAAACTGTGAGTTTCCAAGGAGGCTCAATAATGGTATGGGGAGGTGTAAGTTCCGACGCACGTACAGAGTTGGTCATCGTCGATAATCGGCTTACAGCTACTCGATACATCGAGGAAGTTCTTCAGGAGCACGTAATTCCTTATTCGGAATTCATTGGACACGACCAATTCCTCCTCATGCACGATAATGCACGCCCGCACGTCGCACATTGTGTAGAGGAATATCTGGAAGAGGTTGGAATACAAAAATTACAGTGGCCAGCTCGTAGCCCGGACTTAAATCCAATTGAGCATGTATGGGGTATGTTCAAAAGAAAGATAAAGTCCAGCTCCAAACCGCCACAAACTCTAAATGAGCTCCAAAATGCAGCGCTGGCCGCTTGGGACAGCATACCGCAAGTTGATGTCAGAAACATCATTCAAAGCATGCCAGATCGAATGCAAGCGGTTATCAGGGCTAGGGGAGGAAACACCCGATATTAAAACTGATAAACAATAAAGAAACAAACTTAATTTTTAACTTTGTAGTGTTTTTAAAGTGACAATGGAAAGATGTTAATTTTAGTGAAAACATGTTATCTTGAAAAGAAAAATTTCGGTGAAGTAAACATTAAATTTCTACGTTCTAAAACCATTAGAGACACTTATTGAATGCATCTACCCTTAATTTACTGTTAAAAAAACGTTTCAGTGCAAATAATCAGCAAATTCACGAGTGGCCAAGTTTCCGTGCCGGTGAGTGTATATCTAAAATCATTTGCAACCAGAAACATGGTTTTAGGTTCATTTATAAGTATCTAGCTGTAGACTTTTTCAGGCTGATAAAGAAAGAATGGTGTGTGTGCCCGCTAAAAAGTTAAGGATAGTTTTGGTATCACTTGAAATGTATACAGCACTCCATCTACCTTTTTTTGTTGGTCTGCGATGCAAGGCAAAACATTCTCGAAATTAACTGATAAAAGCAAATACACCAACAACTATCGTTTTAATTATGTTGTGGCACCTTGAATATAGTTGTATGGTTATATTCTTTACAAAAGTGTTATTTATATTTTAATTTAAACTAGCAACTCGCCTGCCTTCACCTGGTTAGAATCTATTAATGTGTCGTTATTTAAAAAC